CACAGCATGGATATAAATTGCCTGATTTAGTTCCCTATAAAGAGTTGTGCATCCATCTTGATCAGATCAGTACAACGGATAATATTCAACTCGAAAGTCCTTCTACTCTGCTGAGAGTTATTCCAGTCAAAGAAGAAAATTACAATAGCGGTAGAACGGAATCTTTCTCATCATTACAATATAAAAAATTAAAGCGGGGTATTATTTCAGATCTCAAAATTTCTGTATTAGATGTAAAACATCAACCTGTGCATATAGGATACTTGAGTGTAACACTCCATATTATAAATAATGGTTGATTCATCGGGCCCTGGAACGCTCAGACAATGTAATACAATTGCGCTTTCCGATCTCGGAGACACAGAAGGATTCGGTAAACCCGGTACCGATGGTAAGTTATACGCTTTACACTTACACGATAATGTATACAGGCAGAAAGAAGTTGCATTCACAGGTAATCTAGGAGATTTAAGTGATGTACAATCTTACTCACAACAATGATAATAAATGGAATATGATCGAAGCAAAAATCAAGTAACTACTGAATATCGTCATTACCCCACCATATGTGATGATGGGTAAGGGCTCATCAATTAACTAAGATAATGAATAGTGGGATCGTACTCGGGGCTTATATCCCATCAAAACGTAAAAGTGTGTTATTCTCTCCCCTATTAAGAAACCCAGGGCATATGTTATTGAGTCGCCCGGCAATAAAAAATGTTAGTTTAAATTTGGTTACTGAATTCAATGATATAAAAGATAACTTGAGTGCAATACCTGATCTTTCTACAATTATTATTGAAGTCTTGTTTGGAGATGCACGAGAAGATGCCTTCGAAATATTACCAGGTCTATCAATTAAATGGCTAAAGAAACACGAGCGTCAACGTTGCAGTATTATTCATATGGGAGTATCACCCGTTGCAACCCTTGAGGGGGTCCAAATTATTAAAAGTGACAGCATTTCTCTTACTAAGATATTCATGCCGTATAATATACATTTAATAAGGTTGATGTATATTCTCAAAACATTGAAGCAAGACCAATTAAAGACTATTATATGATATAATAATATCCACTATGGGTTTATATCAAGCACTTGATGAAGCATCAGAAAAGATGGATACTGTTGATGAAGAGCCGTGAATGCTCTCGACGGAGTTGACAGCACGCTTGTAACGGCTAGCATGGGACTTGGTGTAGCCGGTGTTGGTTTATTATCAACTATAATCGCCGCACCTATCGTACTTGGCATGGAAATAGCCGCCGGAGTCTCAGGACTGGCAGGAATAACGATAAAATTGATTTCTCTAAGTTGCAAAAGAAAGCATTAAAACATGATAATATTCGAATACTCACCGAAGCAAAGTTAAACAGCATTGAGGATCATATTTCAACAGCAATGGCTGATTGTAAGATATCCGAGGAGGAGTTTCGTTTAGTGTTGTCAGAACTCACCAATTACAACGTAATGAAGCAGGAGATTCGATCCAATTCTCGTAAGACCAGTGGTATTAGCGAAGATTAGAAAAAAAAGTTCATAGAACAGGGGAGGCAACAAGCGCGTCAATTATTCCGTGTTAAAACCAAAGAACTGGTTGGAGATTAAAAATAGTTTGTTTCCTATCATTAGATCGCACCGCATAAAAAATCATACATTCATTTAGGCGAATGCTTACATAAATATATAATAATGGAGATTACAAACCAACAAAGGAAGAACTCGAAAAAGCTATTGAAGCATTTATGCTCAGGGACAGAATTATCAAATGGAGAGAATTACAAGGTATATATTATATCAATGATGTCAAACCAACCAAATACAGTCATCAATTGTATCTTTCCAATTACCAAGAAGAGTATATAGTCTGGTCTCCAAGTAAAATGAACGAAGAACTTAGTAAAGATGTTGAATATCACTTCATTAAAAACAAGCATGAAATACTCACATCCCCTACCAATATGACATGTCGGGTGTGTGCAATGCATTAGCTCCTGTGAACTATGTTCACTGGGCCTTTTTTGTAAAGAAATATAATACGTTTTTCAAGATCTGCTCCGGAAACGAGGACTACTGCCATTTTCAGTCTAAATCAAAGTCGTTGCCATGGAAACTCGAAAAATAACTTTTAAAACAATCCAAAACTATCCAAAGGCACCAGTTCACCACTAGACGTATCAATGTGCAAAATATGGTGAAGAAAAATGGTACGGTTTTCAAGATCTGCTCCGGAAACGAGGACTACTGCCATTTTCAGTCTAAATCAAAGTCGTTGCCATGGAAACTTGAAAAATAATTGTTTTTAAAATCCCAAACTATCAAAAGGCACTAGTTCACCACTAGACCTATCTATGTGCCAAGTATGACGAAGAAATATGGTACGTTTTTCAAGATCTGCTCCGGAAATGAGGACTACTGCCATTTTCAGTCTAAATCAAAGTCGTTGCCATGGAAACTCAAAAAATATCATTTTAAAAATGCCAAACTATCAAAAGGCACCAGTTCACCACTAGACCTATCTATGTGCCAAGTATGACGAAGAAATATGGTACGGTTTTCAAGATCTGCTCCGGAAACGAGGACTACTGCCATTTTCAGTCTAAATCAAAGTCGTTGCCATGGAAACTCGAAAAATAACTTTTTTAAAATTCCCAAACTATCAAAAGGCACCAGTTCACCACTAGACCTATCTATGTGCCAAGTATGGTGAAGAAATATGGTACGGATTTCAAGATCTGCTCCGGAAATGAGGACTACTGCCATTTTCAGTCTAAATCAAAGTTGTTGCCATGGAAACTCGAAAAATAAAAATATTTTAAATCCCAAACTATCACAAGTATTTGTCACAGAGTGACGAAATATCCCCCGCCATATACACCATAGTACCAAATATGAAGACAATCCAGCGATTAGTTCTTGAGATATTGTGGCAACACCGTTTTCCAACTCCAAAAACAGATTTGCCTGCTGTGACCTTGAAAATGGGGTCAAGGTCACCAAATCTGACAGGTGTATGCGGTGTCTGTATATACACTATAGTTCCAAATATGAAGACAATCCAGTGTTTAGTTCTTGAGATATCGCGGCAACACCGTTTTCCAACTCCAAAAGCAGATTTGCCTGCTGTGACCTTGAAAATGGGGTCAAGGTCACCAAAACCGACTGGTGTCTGCGGTGTCTGTATATACACCATAGTTCCAAATATGAAGACAATCCAGTGTTTAGTTCTTGAGATATCGCGGCAACACCGTTTTCCAACTCTAAAAGCAGATTTGTCTGCTGTGACCTTGAAAATGGGATCAAGGTCACCAAAACCGATTGGTGTCTGCGGAGTCTGTATATACACCATAGTTCCAAATATGAAGACAATCCAGTGTTTAGTTCTTGAGATATCGCGGCAACACCGTTTTCCAACTCTAAAAGCAGATTTGTCTGCTGTGACCTTGAAAATGGGATCAAGGTCACCAAAACCGACTGGTGTCTGCGGAGTCTGTATATACACCATAGTTCCAAATATGAAGACAATCCAGTGTTTAGTTCTTGAGATATCGCGGCAACACCGTTTTCCAACTCTAAAAGCAGATTTGTCTGCTGTGACCTTGAAAATGGGATCAAGGTCACCAAAACCGACTGGTGTCTGCGGAGTCTGTATATACACCATAGTTCCAAATATGAAGACAATCCAGTGTTTAGTTCTTGAGATATCGCGGCAACAAACAGGTGGGACGTACGGACGGACGGACGGACGGTCGTGAATACTATATCCCCCGCTTCGCGCTTTCGCGCGGCGGGGGATAAAAAGGCACCAGTTCACCACTAGATCTATCTATGTGCCAAGTTTGGTGAAGAAATATGGTACGGTTTTCAAGATCTGCTCCGGAAAAGAAATGTGACAGACGGACGGACGGCACCCATTCCTATATCCCCCTTCCACTTCCTGGCGGGGGATAATAATGGTATACGTATTAGTAAAAATAATAGAGAATATTTTCCATCCAATTTAGTTTAGTCTCATCATCGTTTTTGTACTAAAAATTCCCTCTGATATCATTGATTCGCTCCAGATAGTGGTGAGCTGGAGCCAATTTAACTTAATCTCATAGCGATCGTTAAATCGCATCAGCGTTTACACATAAAAAAATTCCCCTGTAGTAGCAGTATAGGTATATAAATCTGGCTCCAGTGGGGTTGCGGCAGAACCCCCATCACCTATACTACTCATGCAATCCAAACAAGGTTGATGAGGACCTTTTGGAAGATTTTTTACGACAATTTCTGCACCTCGCAAGCATATGTTACACAAATAGGGAGTTGTTGATAAATACACATTTAAAGAATTGCTAAATAATTTTAATAAATATCAGCAAAATGTTTACAAGTTGAAAGTGTATACAATGAAATGAAGCACACAAAAACTCTGTAACACCAAAGCTACAAGTATCTAAATAAACATAAGTATGTTATAAGTACCTAGCTAACAATTGCAAATAATTTGACTACCTTTGCAGGTAAACAAATGTAACAAATTCAAAATGGCGTAAACAAGCCACTTGGTGGGAAAAAAGACAAAGTCTTTTTACGCAAAAATCACCCACATATTAATACACAAAATGGTGAGAGTAATATGAAAAAAATACATCACTCATTGCAGATATAATTTAGAGTATTAGCAGAAGCTAAAAGCCTAAAAAAATCCAAAGTTGAGGAGCCGAGCTGAGACATGTCCTAGCTGTTTCGCAGCAGGCAGTAATATGCTCAATGATTTGCCATCAAGGTCACATGACAGCGGCGATGGTCCTTGCAAAAAGGAGGATTTGAAAACGGAGACATCTTTTTCTTCACCCAAGACAATCACTGAGTGCTGTCCTTGTTGTCGTAAGGTGAACAGTCAATGCATTAAGAAGAAATGCAAGTTAAGAAAAATTAGGGTTTTAGTAAAGTCTTTGAGAAGAAAATTTGAGGTGAATATTTCAAGAGTCCCATACTTCTACCTTACCTTTCATCAAAGCTGGAGAATACTCTTCTCATCGTGTCCTTCAGTGCTGTGTCCTTTCTATCTTCAGCTTCTGTCAAGTCTGCCAACATGTCCTCAATGTCTGGTGTCCGGTACCGTTTCCAACCTTTCTTAGATGACATCACCTCATACTCATTAGGTACCCGTTTCCATGCAACCTCTGGTATCTCCATTTGGTAGCGGTTCTTGGCGGTGCCCCAGTACACCATTGCCTGGAATGTAACACAAAATGTTAGTTGGCAGGATAGATAATGAAATACTCATCCAACTTTTCACCTTCAGATATATACTGAACTGCAAAAGAAACATCACCATGGATAGATATATGAGAAACCTTATTTGTCCAAACACTGCAAACATACTTTGAGACATATTAAAAAGATGAAACTTGGCGAAATTGATCATCAAGGTTGAAATTAATTTGTCAAATGTTCTTAAAGTGAAAGTCTCTGAGAAAATGGCATCACAAGTCAGGATCTCATGTGTCCACTATGTGCATTGATGACTACCATGCAACGTCGATACATGAAATGGATGAGGCGGTTGATGAAGGCCATAGGCACTTGAGCCCACACTCAGAGGAATGCCTGATGCAATTCAGCTGCAATTGTCGGCCTTGGTCGGACGTCATTCAGCCGTCTTTGTATCTCGTCCCACAGGTGCTCAATGGGATTTAAATCGAGACTGAGGGTAGGCCACTGTATGGTTCTGATGCCATTCTGTTGGAGGAAGTCTCTTGTTGCTCCCGCAGTTCAGGCACAGGCGTTATCATGCTGAAACTCGTGGTTGCGGCGACATGCCAAATGAGTTATGGCGTGTGGTGTCAAGACTTGATCAATGTACCAAGCTGCTGTGACACCATTGCCTCTCCCTGGACCGATGTTCTGGAAGACCACAGGGCTGACCCTCTTTGCCAGGCCAATTCCACCTCACACCATGATGCTCGGACCACCACACGAGTCTCTCTCAAAAACACAAGCATCGGAATAATATTCCCCCGGTGTCGCCAGACTCTCTCTCTGCCATCTGCTGTTGAGATATAGAAATGGCTCTCATCTGAGAAGAGGACTCTTCTCCTGTGCTGGTGGCGCCAATGTTGGTGCTGTGTTGCCCACTGAAGACGGTCCTGGCAATGACGTGGTGTCAGAATGGGTCCTCAGTGTGGCCTGTGACAGTGTTGGTGTCTGCTCGTCAATCGTCGACGTATGGTGTCCGCACTAATGTGTCGCTGGTGTGTCCCCATGGTCTGTCGAGCATTTTCCACAGCAGTAACAAAGCGATCTTGAAGATGCTGTCGCACAATCTGATGATCCTGACGTCGGGTGGTGACCCTTGGTCTTCCACTACGTTGTCGGTCATCTGTAGTGTTGGTGGTCTGGTACCATTGCTGGAGCCTGTATATGGTCCTTACGTGGACTTGCTGGGCGGTTTGTCCAGCTTCCAATTGTCCAAGGGCTTGGTGTCGCTGATTTCTTGTCAATCTTAGCATGTGGTAGCAATTCAATAACGAATAAATGTTATCCGATCTGGGTGGATTTTTATAGGGCAAGAAATGGGGAAACACATGTGCATTTCAATTTGCACGAAACTCACGTGCATTGGGTTACCATGGCCATTGCCGTGATGCGTATGGGCCATCGGTTTTATTGTCATATGCTTTGTTTTTTTATCTTCAAATTTCATTTTTCCGGACAAGGTAATGTTAAATTTTAGAAACTTTGACAAAATTACTCAGATATTTAAATAACTACATTTCATGCACTGTTACTTGGGGAACCATTTCTTTTGCGGTTCAGTATATATATATTTTGAAATTTCTGAATTGAGGATATGAAGAAATATAGTCAAATAGTTTTAGAAAGCAGATATCTGTCCCTCAAAGAATGCCTCCTTATTTTCATTGCTTGATCGAAGTTCACCCAAGATTCACCTGACAAGACCTCCCACGTAGGTTTGGAGTATCAAATCAGGAATGAAATATCTGATTTCAATGAGATCAGAATTACCTTGCGACATAAGCTTGACATCTTCCCTACCAATCCCTGTTAACAAGATGAGGTGGCATGGTGACCAAATTATATCTTTTTGACCACAAGTACATCTCTAGGAAACACTGACCATGCAACTAAGCCGATCTCGCTGTTTGTCCAGATACTGAACCAGTCTCTTCTCGATGGCTTTGATGTCCTGGGAGGCCTGGTCATAGTCCAGGTTGACCCCTGAAAAACACCATAGGTACAACTGCCTCACCTGTCATGACAAACATCACCTGATCTCATCAGCACACACTATTAGCAATGAAATGATCTTAACTATACTTCATGGATATAACTTCTTATCAGAGGCTTCCTATATCAGACTGGATATGTTTTATTAGTTTTTACACAAATTTCCAGACATTGACAACAATGTCCTACTTGAACATGTTTCAAGGAAACAGGATCTTACAATACTGCCCTGATGATGATAACTTTCACTTGGAGACTGGTTATTGAAAAACATAACAACAAGGAGTTTTCTTACCTTTGCTTGGTAATATAGTTCCATCCTTACGTGCTTTAGTGTGATCAAAAGCAGCCTGCCAAAGGTAATATGTATAACATCAAAACTTTACACATGTCTGTCAATGTCTAATGAGTGGCTACAACGACCATAATTGTCCGCAGTGAATAAATCCTTCAAATGACACGTACAACCTGAATGTTTCAATGTAATTTGCAATATTAACAAGATACCTGTTTAAAAAAACAGGGGGAGACATTATTGCCTTCAATTATTACTGCCATTCTCATTACAGCACTCCCAGATTGTAAGATGTGAAAACACCAAGCAATCTCACCCCGGCTCTTACAATTCTGCTTCAAGCATGTACATCCTTCCCTGCCTACGGCCATCACTCTCCCCGGCTCATACAATAGACCGATCCAGTCTGTCAATCAAAATTGGCGTATGCGTCAGTTTGAGCTAATCAGAAGACCGGACGCACTTTGCGGATTTGTCAGACTTACTTCCGGGGTCAAACAATACCCGAGAAGCGACGTGGCTACGGTTTGTCCTATTTTCACTCCCGATAGCCATTACATATTGCTGGGATTAGATGTTTACCTTTACCCAAACCCACAGAGTCAGGAGAAAAATGTTTGAGGCTGATCAAGATGTGCGGTAGGCCTCACTCATCATCAGTTAAATGTCGCCACCATCTTCCACGGGACCCACGTCTGCTCAAAGTAAGAATTTTCACGAACTTCCTCACTTTTGCACATATGCATATTCAATACGGGTAAAGGACAACACGTAGCAAGTTATGATTTTACGCATGTTAGAAACAAGGCTAATGCTTGTAACTACAAAATCATTTTTGAATTATGTATTTTGGCAACAGGTCATATTGCTGAAATGTGACACGCGAGACGGCCATGACACACTGTAAACAAAAATGACAGTGATCTGATTTCGGTTAGTGCACAAAATCTTGTATTATTCATACTGAAGTACAATCTGGTGGAAATTGTATTCCTCTCTCTTAGATATGATTTATTTTGTTACAGATTTTTAGATATGATTTAGTTTCAAAATCACAACAAGCCTATCTACTAATATTGCAAATTGCTCGAGCATAAGGCCAGGCGTTTTATATTTTTCAGATTACGGACCTGCCGACTCTAATTTTTGAGAAAATGTGAAAAAAAATTAAATCAGATTTCCATTTTTTTCCCCCCGCTGATAGCCGCGTAGTCATTTATTTTATTTGTTATCATCACCTTTTAATAAAAAAAACATATGGATTTACCGTTATAAACTACCGTAGTGAGATACATAATCGATCTTTGTTGATCTCAAAGCCAAACATGAATAGACTCCCTTGACAATTGTCCGTGTTGTAAGTGGTAGAATTTTTATTGTTACAGGGGGCTTTATCGTCACAAATGGCGGTCTTTTGAGCACAGAATATGTTCATAAAGTATGCCAGAGGCATTCTGCATTTGCCTGCATTCCCTTGCAAACATTCGAAAACATCTAATTAACATTCAGGATACAAACTGCATTGAGGATGTTAATTTAACCTTAGTAGATGAACAGGAGTAAATAATGTCGGTACATGCATCAACTCAAGAAATTTCGAAAGATGACATGTCGACTGAACTTAGTACAACAACTTTTCATACGTTGTTGGAGTTTGGGAATCGCAGATATATTCACGTCAAAACGAAAACCACCGATAAACTGTGTGCAAGTGCAACGGTTGAAGACCCCAAAACGGAACGGAGATAGCTATATTTTCAGTATTATTTTGATTATGTGTTTTTGGGAAGATGGTAATATCTCAGTGTTGCTACTTTCAAGTTCTTCTGACAAAACAGTGGCCAAGTAACTATGCGATATTTATTTTTTATATGTAATTTGCAGTGTTAGAATTAACATGAACAGTGATAGATATCAATATTTTCAGTATTTTGTTTGTTTTGTGCATTTTTGAAGACATTGAAGATCTCAGTGGTGCTACTTTGAAGTTTCTTCACGACAGTGGCTTTGACACATTAATCACTTATTAGTTTTGTGATATCAGGAAAAACAGGTTGAGTTTAAAAATAATGTTTGTTTTATTTTTGTTACACTCTTAGTTTTTTAAGTGAATCACTCTAATGCAGCAGAACTTGTAGCAATATTATGCTGTTGGCTCTATGATCATTTGGACATTCAGTATGTGAAGTTTGTGCTGAGGAGAGACTGTGCTGCAAAATACACAATAAACTTTCATGAAGTCATCAGTTTTTTTGTTTTTTTTTCCCCTCCTTTCCTACATCTTTGGTTGTAAAATTCTGTAATCTCCCCACACAAAAAAAAGCATCTGGCTTCTTTTTTTTCCCTCCTCCAACCCTGGACTTTGTGCTGAAAAAATCTGTAATCCTAAAAATAAAAAAAGCCTGGCCTAATATTGCAAATTACTCTAGCAGTAATAACCATTTTAACATATAAGTATAATCATTGTATTTCAGCATTTCTATGAAGAATGCAGTAATGAACTACCTGATCCTATTCTTGTAAAATGGAATCATCCCTTAAAGGTTAAAGAGGAAAGTTTCCTGAGAAATACTCTGAACTATTTGGACAGATTGAAATAAAAACCCATCTTAGTTAATATAAGACAATTATTGGTTTAGAATTGTTTGCAACATAAGTTATTCACTGGTAGTGGAAGCTTACTGATATACATTTTAGTGAAACAATATAACTGTTAAAAATGGGTTTTTCAGAATAAAAACGATGTTTCATTGGTCTGTTTTCAGTCGTACAAATGGGTATCTCTCATACCCTCACTTCTAGGCACACGTTTAAAAGGAAGCCAGAAGCTGGAATGTAAACATTGAACTGGTTCGTCCGGTTGCGCACGCACCTCCCTATGACATGTCACAAATCTCGAAGAATAAGCAATCATTCAGGACTGGACTGGATTACTGCCCTGTGGGGATGGCTGGGTGGGAACGTACAACTGAAAACAGACCAATAAAACACCGTTTTTATTCTGAAAAACCCATGTTTTAGTCTGTTTTTAGTCGTACAAATGGGTAGAATTCGACGGAACACTGGAAGGAGGGTCGGGAAAGTAATCAGGAAGTGCCCTCTTTCACGTCGAATGTACCAAGTTCCTCACCCCTGTAGTGACAATAGAACATTCGACCAGATGCACGGACGAGACAAGTTGTTTATCACGAACGCACAGCATGGTTAATGCTCTTCGACACACAAGTAACTATCGATGCGACAGGACAACTGCCACTTTAGCCGAATATCCTTTCTTTATTAACGAGGTCTTAAGCGAACCAAGGCGTGAAGCTTGAAGTTCTTTATCCCCGGATGCAAGTTGTCGGTGTGAGGATGAAGAAGGAGGTCGTCTCGATCTGGCAACGGGAACGGTGGCTGATCGATGATCTGAAAGAGTTCCGGGAACCAAGTTTTGTCCGGCAGATAAGGCGCGACCAAAAGCAGACGTAGATTGGCCGTTTGACGAACTTTCTCCAGTATCGATGGTAACAGCACCATTGGGGGAAACCCGTAAGCGTCTAGACCCTCCCACGATGTCGTTAGAGCGTTGTGGTCCCATACCCGTGGGTCTGGAACCGGCGACACGAATCGAGGGAGGCGGTTGTTGTAGCGGGTTGCGAAGAGATCTACTTGGGGCAACCAGAGTCGATCTGTCAGCAGATTAAAGACTGTCGGATGGATCATCCAATCCGTGGGAGACGTCTCGACAGGGCCTCGGCTATCACATTCTTGGCCCCCGGGATGTGACGGGCTCTTACGCCCATGTCCAAGTCGTCGACAAGGGTGAAAAACCTGAATGTCCGGTCCAGAATCGTTCCCTGTTTGTTGATGCAGTGGACGACAGTGGAGTTTAAGATTCCAGAACTCGACCGCCCGAATCACTGCTTCTATCTCGAGGCAGTTGATGTGGAGGACCTTTTCTTCTGGCGACCACAGCCCGGCCGCTTGGTCGTCCCCGAAGTGCGCTCCCCAGCCATCCAATGACGCGTCTACGAATAGGTGTAGTATGAACGGAGGCTCGCTCATAAAGACGCCTTCGCAAAGGTTGGACGGCTGGAGCCACCACTCCAGATGACAAAGTAGCTGCGCCGGAAGTGGAACCAGGAGGTTGGGAAACTCCAGGTAGGGGTACAGCAATCTCTGCAGTGGACGAAGTTGAAGACGACCTCGGCGAGTCAGGTCTTTGGCTGATGTCAACAGACCGAGGACTTCCTGCTACGTGTGCACCGACGCCGGGGCATGTAGAAGTCTTGGAACGCTGCTAACAATCTTGTCCCAGCGGTCTTGAGGTACCTTGACCAGATTGACCCCTGTCTGGAAGTGTATCCCGATGTACTGTAGATCCCGAGTTGGTACCAAGTCCGACTTTTGAAGATTGACGATCCACCCGAGGTACCGTAGTAGACTCAGGGTGGTCGCTAACTCTCCTTGAAGGGCTTCTGTGAACTGGTGAGCTTGGAGCCCGTCGTCTAGGTAGAAGGCGACCCTGATCGCCTGCCGATGGAGACAATCTACGACCTTCTTAATGATCCGTGTGAAGATGCACGGGGCCGTAGAAATTCCAAACAGGAGGGACGCCCACGGGTAATGAATACCTTGTTACGAATCGAAGGTACTTCTGGCACTCGGAAGCTATTGGTAAATGGAGATAGGCGTCCTGAAGGTCTATCGAGACGAGGAAGTCGTTCGGTAATATCATCCGACGCAGAGAGCTGAGGGATATCATGGTGAATGTGTCGGGTTGTTGGAGGTATGTTGCATTGAACTATTTGAGATTGAAAATAAGCCGCATCTTTGTGGAGTTTTTCTTGGGTACCAGAAAGATGGGCGAGTAGTACCGTGGCGATGGTGCCAATGTCCCTAGGCGAAGTACTGCCGCCTTTTCCACCAACGAATTGATGGCCTCCGTCAGCCAATCCGTTGGTGGAGTGTGGAATGTCAGGGATGACGTCAGTGGTGGCGTCGATCTCAGGCGTGGGGCGTAGCCTGTTGTCAAAATGTCTTAAAGCCCGAAGTGATGCATGTCTCAGACGTTAACCACTTTGGTGAAACCCACGTGCCTGGGTATGGTGTTGACAAATCTAGAAACATAATCTGGGCGAACCGGGATTCAAACCCACAATCACAGGTTTCTGGTGTGCCCAAGGGACGCAACTCTGCACAACAAATCGCAGTGCATTGGACGTCTGGGCCACCCATGCCCCTTTCTGAAGGTAAGGGTCGTTGAGGAAAGCCCACCTGTGGGCATAGTGATGAAGTCTCCCCCCTACCGGTAGCTCGTCTAAAGGTAGTGTCACCGGGGGAGACTGCAACGACGGTGACGACGGGAGAAGGGTCCTCACTTCTTCCCCCGCTGGCTCTTTCCCCCTCTGGGATACTTGGAAAAGGAGACCCGGCGACCTTTCCTGTCCGAATCACTCTTGTGGGACGTCTGTCGAGGCATGTCCCTACGAAAGGCCCGTTGCACATTCTCGTTTCTGTAACGTAGTCGTGGGGCGTTCAAAACCGGTGGCCGTCTGGACAGGATGTGTGAAGCCGAAATGATGATGTCACGCTCGGCTTCCCTGGAGTACTTGTCCAGAACTTCGTTGGTACGACCGTCAAACAACTGTTGCGATAACCACGGGGCCCGTAACAGTGTCCTGCCATGACGATCAGGTAGTTCAGTGCAGTCGATGTAACCATGGCGATGTGCCATAGTAATCTGGCCTGATACATATCGGGACTGGGCGAGGATGTCCGAGAGGCTGTCGTCACAATCAATCGTCGACGTCGATTGTGTAGGCATAGATGAAGGAGCTGGTGTACTGGTTGACGGTTCATGGACCCCCGACGTAGTCGAATCCTTCTTGGTCGACGCCGTCGAGGCGAGTACTGCTGCCATGATCTAGGCTATCAAAGCCGAGTCAATATGAAAGTGAGACGAGGGTGTCGTTCTGTCATTATCTCTACTGATCTCCCAGAAACTCCCTACGAGAACGTTGCACGTCCTCGTGGGGACGGGGGCTACAATCTCTAACTGTAGAAGTACTACGATCCCAATTGTAGTTATCGTCCGAATCATACTCTCGACGACCACAAAGCCGATGAACGTCCTCGTGTCGTTTACTGTCTCTCGACGAGGCACTCACCCTGTCGTCCCATCTGAGTTCACTGTCGTCCCACACGACGTCCCTATCGTCGGTGGTAGAACTAGATACAGACCGACTGGGGACCGTAGTCTCCTCATGGTCCTCGTCACCACCCAGTCCCGTCATAACGGGGGTGCCTGAGTGACGCTCTCGATCAACGAAGATCAACGAAGATCAGTCGTGCAGGTAGTATCATCAGCAGGCGAACGGTCACGTGACTTGTCGAAAACAGAAGTTGACTGAGGCGGGTCTTTATCAACTGATTTCTTGGGTGTGGCCGACTCGCCACCCACAGAGCTGGATGTGGAGGGTGCAGAGTCCAAGGATCCACCCGATGACCTTCTCTGCTTATAGCGCTGGTCAGTAGCCCGCTTCGCAAACGCACGAAGATACAAGTTAAAGTTTATAGAAGACAAGTGCTCAAATTCTTTACAACGTTTATCCCACGAACACGTTGAAAACCCGTCCTTAAGATGCAGGAAGGACAATACTTGTGAGGATCTACTTTAGATAGTTTTCTTTGACATGAGGCACAAATGCCCGACATGTTGCCACGTGTTAAATCAAGTAAAACAGTGAAACACGTGTTGAACACAAACAATGGATTACCAAGGATTACATTCCAGGAGTCTACAGGTAAGACATATTATTATTGCTTTATTAGAACAACAACTGTAGACAAGTGATAAGTACTAGTAGAATACAAACTAGCAGTCTACCGCGAAAGTCTTTCTAGAGCGACCAGCTCAGAGGCGCACTGAGAAATTTGTGACATGTCATAGGGAGGTGCGTGCGCAACCGGACGGAAACAAGTTTAATGTTTACATTCCAGCTTCTGGCTTCCTTTTAAACGTGCGACTAGAAGTGAGGGTATGAGAGATACCCATTTGTACGACTGAAAACAGACTAAAACATGATTATAAATGTCAAGTCATTTTAATTAATTTACTGGAAACAATAGCAAGATTTTTTATGAACTCAGAGTAACATGGTCAAGTAATGATATAAATTATAATCTAATCAAGTAATTAATAATTATTCCAACCAGTTATTTAATTGATGCCGTATAAAAGTCAGATTAATATGATGAGTAATTGCACTAACTAACAAACACTAAATGATTGATGGTACAACATCCAACTGGTATAAAACTTACCTTGTTGGCTCTTTCTATAGGACATTATATTATTTCTTTTTAAATAATATATTTAAAAAAAAGATAGTGTTGAAAGTTATTACCAGTATAATAACGCATACTTATTTCAAGATACAAAGAATTTGTAAAAGCAAAGGCAGTATCTCTTTGTCACACCCTGATCAGGCATTATCCAGAGTGCCTGATCAATTCAGATACAGAATAGTTAGTAGTTAGTATCATAGTTTTACTCCTCTTTTAGCAATATTCCAGCAATATCACTTCGGGGGACACCAGTAATGGGCTTCACACATTGTACCCATGTCGGGAATCGAACCGGGGTCTTCGGCGTGACGAGCGAACGCTTTAACCACTAGGCTACAGATACAGAATAAATTATATAATTCTTAATAGATTTCATCTATAACTGTGATGAATATTAAAATGTATTTAACCCAAAATGTAATTCTTTACCATGATTTGAGGAAATTGTCAAAATTTGATAATTGAGCAAGAGCTAGTGTTTATTAAGGATATTGGTTGTTGACATATTGTTTAAGTTTTGGTTATGATAATGTTGAGAATGAGCTTCAAATTTACTTCACAGTGATTTCTGCTGCCATTAGGGCATTTTCAAGTTGGATTTTTATCTTTTGATATGACTTTACCAAATTTTAGAACAACTTTAGGACATTATGGATGACAATCAGTCAGTATCCTAGAAAAGGAACTGGTCTGAATCCCTGTTTGTTTTTATTATTTAAGGAAAAGTCATGCTCACACCAGTATTTGTGAAACATACTTGGGCCATAACTCTCCCCTGCTCTTACAGTTCTGTACATCCTTCCCTGCCTCCGGCCATAACTCTCCCCTGCTCTTACAGTTCTGTACATCCTTCCCTGCCTCCAGCCATAACTCTCCCCTGCTCTTACAGTTCTGTACATCCTTCCCTGACTCCAGCCATAACTCTCCCCTGCTCTTACAGTTCTGTACATCCTTCCCTGCCTCCAGCCATAACTCTCCCCTGCTCTTACAGTTCTGTACATCCTTCCCTGCCTCCAGCCATAACTCTCCCCTGCTCTTACAGTTCTGTACATCCTTCCCTGACTCCGGCCATAACTCTCCCCTGCTCTTACAGTTCCGTACATCCTTCCCTGCCTCCAGCCATAACTCTCCCCTGCTCTTACAGTTCTGTACATCCTTCCCTGCCTCCGGCCATAACTCTCCCCTGCTCTTACAGTTCTGTACATCCTTCCCTGCCTCCAGCCATAACTCTCCCCTGCTCTTACAGTTCTGTACATCCTTCCCTGACTCCAGCCATAACTCTCCCCTGCTCTTACAGTTCTGTACATCCTTCCCTGACTCCGGCCATAACTCTCCCCTGCTCTTACAGTTCCGTACATCCTTCCCTGCCTCCCGGCATGCTGGCCAACCCCTATGTCCCAGATTTGTACTTAAAGACTTACATCAAAGAATGCCAAGTCTTCGCTGATGTCAGGGAAGTGTCCCTGGTCTGCCTGGGAGCAGCATATGGAGATAGTCTTCTTCAGTAGTGTGGACCTGTACAGAGTACATCTCAGGATCTTCAGTCACAGGACACAATGAAAGTAAGTCTTTCTGACTATAGCCCTCATCACCAACACACATGAGTTATGAGTTACTTTCACTACACTTGCATGGATACCACACACACACACACACACACACACACACACACACACACACACACACACATGAGTAACAACCTCCAGAACAACTTGCATGGATACTACACTTTAGCCATCCACACACACACAAGTGAGTAACAACCTCCAGAACAACTTGCAAGGATACTACACTATAGCCATCTACACACACACACACACACACACACACACACACACACACACACACACACACACACACACACACACAAACACACACACGTGAGTAACAACTTCCATGGATACTACACTATAGCCATCCACACACACACACGTGAGTAACAACCTCCAGAACAACTTGCAAGGATGCTACACTATAGCCATCCACACACACATAAGTGAGTAACAACCTCCAGAACAACTTGCAACCATACTACACTATAGCCATCAACACACTTAACCATCAACACACACACACAAAAATACAAGTAACAACCTCTCCACACACACACACACACACACACACACACACACACACACACACACACACACACACACACACACACACACACACACACACACACACACACACACACACACACGAGTAACAACTGCCAGAACAACTTGCATGGATACTACACTATAGCCATCCACACACACACACAAGTGAGTAACAACCTCCAGAACAACTTGCAAGGATGCTACACTATAGCCATCCACACACACACAAGTGAGTAACAACCTCCAGAACAACTTCCATGGATACTACACTATAGCCATCCGCACACACACAAGTGAGTAACAACCTCCAGAACAACTTCCATGGATGCTACACTATAGCCATCCACACACACACACAAGTGAGTAACAACCTCCAGAACAACTTGCATGGATACTACACTATAGCCATCCGCACGCACACAAGTGAGTAACAACCTCCAGAAGAACTTCCATGGATACTACACTATAGCCATCCACACACACACAAACACAAGTGAGTAACAACCTCCAGAACAACTTGCATGGATACTACACTATAGCCATCCACACACACACACACACAAGTGAGTAACAACCTCCAGAACAACTTGCAAGGATGCTACACTATAGCCATCCACACACACACAAGTGAGTAACAACCTCCAGAACAACTTGCATGGATACTACACTATAGCCATCCGCACACACACAAACACAAGTGAGTAACAACCTCCAGAACAACTTGCAAGGATGCTACACTATAGCCATCCACACACACACAAGTGAGTAACAACCTCCAGAACAACTTCCATGGATGCTACACTATAGCCATCCACACACACACAAACACAAGTGAGTAACAACCTCCAGAACAACTTCCATGGATGCTACACTATAGCCATCCACACACACACAAACACAAGTGAGTAACAACCTCCAGAACAACTTCCATGGATGCTACACTATAGCCATCCACACACACACAAGTGAGTAACAACCTCCAGAACAACTTCCATGGATGCTACACTATAGCCATCCACACACACACAAACACAAGTGAGTAACAACCTCCAGAACAACTTCCATGGATGCTACACTATAGCCATCCACACACACACAAACACAAGTGAGTAACAACCTCCAGAACAACTTCCATGGATACTACACTATAGCCATCCGCACACACACAAGTGAGTAACAACCTCCAGAACAACTTCCATGGATGCTACACTATAGCCATCCACACACACACAAACACAAGTGAGTAACAACCTCCAGAACAACTTGCATGGATACTACACTATAGCCATCCACACACACACAAACACAAGTGAGTAACAACCTCCAGAACAACTTGCATGGATACTACACTATAGCCATCCACACACACACACACACACACACACAAAATACAAGTGAGTAACAACCTCCAGAACAACTTGCATGGATACTACACTATAGCCATCCACACACACACACACACACCAAGTGAGTAACAACCTCCAGAACAACTTGCATGGATACTACACTATAGCCATCCACACACACACAAGTGAGTAACAACCTCCAGAACAACTTCCATGGATACTACACTATAGCCATCCACACACACAAGTGAGTAACAACCTCCAGAACAACTTGCATGGATACTACACTATAGCCATCCACACACACACACACACACACACACACACAAGTGAGTAACAACCTCCAGAACAACTTCCATGGATGCTACACTATAGCCATCCACACACACACAAGTGAGTAACAACCTCCAGAACAACTTCCATGGATACTACACTATAGCCATCCACACACACACACAAGTGAGTAACAACCTTCAGAACAACTTGCAAGGATGCTACACTATAGCCATCCACACACACACAAGTGAGTAACAACCTCCAGAACAACTTCAATGGATGCTACACTATAGCCATCCACACACACACAAACACACAAGTGAGTAACAACCTCCAGAACAAATTGCATGGATGCTACACTATAGCCGTCCACACACACACACACACCAAGTGAGTAACAACCTCCAGAACAACTTCCATGGATACTACACTATAGCCATCCGCACACACACAAGTGAGTAACAACCTCCAGAACAACTTCCATGGATGCTACACTATAGCCATCCACACACACACAAACACAAGTGAGTAACAACCTCCAGAACAACTTGCATGGATACTACACTATAGCCATCCACACACACAAGTGAGTAACAACCTCCAGAACAACTTGCATGGATACTACACTATAGCCATCCACACACACACACACACACACAAAAATACAAGTGAGTAACAACCTCCAGAACAACTTGCATGGATACTACACTATAGCCATCCACACACACACACACACACACACACACCAAGTGAGTAACAACCTCCAGAACAACTTGCATGGATACTACACTATAGCCATCCACACACACACACACACACTAACACAAGTGAGTAACAACCTCCAGAACAACTTGCATGGATACTACACTATAGCCATCCGCACACACACAAGTGAGTAACAACCTCCAGAACAACTTGCAAGGATACTACACTATAGCCATCCACACACACACAAGTGAGTAACAACCTCCAGAACAACTTGCATGGATGCTACACTATAGCCATCCACACACACACAAGTGAGTAACAACCTCCAGAACAACTTCCATGGATACTACACTATAGCCATCCACACACACACAAGTGAGTAACAACCTCCAGAACAACTTCCATGGATACTACACTATAGCCATCCACACACACACAAGTGAGTAACAACCTCCAGAACAACTTGCAAGGATACTACACTATAGCCATCCACACACACACAAGTGAGTAACAACCTCCAGAACAACTTGCATGGATACTACACTATAGCCATCCACACACACAAGTGAGTAACAACCTCCAGAAGAACTTCCATGGATACTACACTATAGCCATCCACACACACACAAACACAAGTGAGTAACAACCTCCAGAACAACTTGCATGGATACTACACTATAGCCACACACACACACACACACACACACACACACACACACACACACACACACACACACACACACACACAGACACACACACAAAGTGAGTAACAACCTCCAGAACAACTTGCATGGATACTACATTATAGCCATCCACACACACACACACACACACAAATACAAGTGAGTAACAACCTCAAGAACAACTTGCAAGCATGCTACACTATAGCCATCCACACACCCACACACACACACAAGTGAGTAACAACCTCCAGAACAACTTCCATGGATGCTACACTATTGCCATCCACACACACACACACCAAGTGAGTAACAACCTGAAGAACAACTTGCATGGATACTACACTATAGCCATCCACACACACACAAGTGAGTAACAACCTCCAGAACAACTTGCATGGATACTACACTATAGCCATCTACACACACACACACAAGTGAGAAACAACCTACAGAACAACTTGCAAGGATGCTACACTATGGCCATCTCCACACACACACACACACACACACACACACACACACACACACACACACACACACACACACACACACACACACACACACACACACACACACACACACAAGTGAGTAACAACCTCCAGAACAACTTGCATGGATACTACATTATAGCCATCCACACACACACAAGTGAGTAACAACCTCCAGAACAACTTGCATGGATATTACACTATAGCCATCTACACACACAAGTGAGTAACAACCTCCAGAACAACTTCCATGGAAACTACACTATAGCCATCCGCACACACACACACACACACACACACACACACACACACACACACACACACACACACACACACACACACACACACACACACACACACACACACACACACACACCAAGTGAGTAACAACCTCCAGAACAACTTGCATGGATACTACACTATAGCCATCCACACACACACAAGTGAGTAACAACCTCCAGAACAACTTGCATGGATACTACACTATAGCCATCCACACACACACAAGTGAGTAACAACCTCCAGAACAACTTGCATGGATATTACACTATAGCCATCTACACACACAAGTGAGTAACAACCTCCAGAACAACTTGCATGGATACTACACTATAGCCATCCACACACACACAAGTGAGTAACAACCTCCAGAACAACTTGCATGGATACTACACTATAGCCATCTACACACACAAGTGAGTAACAACCTCCAGAACAACTTACATGGATACTACACTATAGCAATCCACACACACACAAGTGAGTAACAACCTCCAGAACAACTTGCATGGATACTACACTATAGCCATCTACACACACACACACACACACACAAGTGAGTAACAACCTCCAACCGAACAAGATGCATAGATACTTACTTAAAATTAGAAGTGTGAGTCTGCAGTTTCTGTGCCATTTGAAACGCAGATTTAAATCCCCCAAGTGTTGCAAGAAAATCTTCTATCTTTCTTTTGCTGAAAATCAATGTTCACTCACTATGTAAAGCAGTCATGTAAAAGAATGGCGTTATGCTTGGGAGTTTTTGTGTCAGAATGGCTTGGGAGTTATTCTGTGTCAGAATGGTGTTATGCTTGGGAGTTTTTGTGTGTCAGAATGGAGTTATGCTTGGGAGTTTTTGTGTGTCAGAATGGTGTTATGCTTGGGAGTTATTGTGTGTCAGAATGGAGTTATGCTTGGGAGTTATTGTGTGTCAGAATGGTGTTATGCTTGGGAGTTTTTGTGTGTCAGAATGGTGTTATGCTTGGGAGTTATTGTGTGTCAGAATGGAGTTATGCTTGGGAGTTATTGTGTGTCAGAATGGTGTTATGCTTGGGAGTTATTGTTTGTCAGAATGGTGTTATGCTTGGGAGTTATTGTGTGTCAGCATACCTACCTGTAGGTGACTTCTTCATACAGGATGGCTCGGCTGTCCGGGTGGTTCCTGCTTCTGCAAGCTGATCCTAATGTGTGGATTCTGTAAATAGGGGAGATGCTTTAGCAGTATGAATGAATAATCTATCAATCAGAGCAATATTTGGTAAAGCAAGATAATTTGCACTAGCTGCACAAGCGGCCCGTGAAGATTGCGGGGTAGAACAGATGTTCAGGAACCCATACTTGCTGTAAAAGGCGACTATGCTTGTCGTAAAAGGCGACTAACGGGATCGGATGGTCAGGCTCGCTGACTTGGTTGATACATGTCATCGATCCCAATTGCGTGGATCGATGCTCATGATGTCAATCAATGGATTGTCTGGTCCAGACTCGATTATTTTACAGACCGCCGTCATATAGCTGGAATATTGCTGAGTGCGGCGTTAAACAAACAAACAAACAAACAAACAAATAGCTGCACAAGCTGTGATGCAATCTTAAACACTGTTCCTTCAGTGTGTTCTGGCATTCCCACCTTACCGGTACGTACCTGCTGAGGAGTCTCTCCAGGTCAGGTAGTTTCTTCATGACCTCCACCATGTCCACCAGCAGGTCCTGTGAGGCCATCAGGTCTTCCACAGCATCTAGGCGATCATTGATGGCTGCCGGGCTACACAGAGGCGCACACAACCACTGGCGAAACAATCTCTTGCCTGTACAGATTGACATAAAAAAACACTTCACACCAGTTTTTTATATGTTTATAAATGTTCTATCAATATCACAGGGAAGTAAATAGCATAATCATATCATCCAATTATGGCATCAAAATGTTTACCCGAAGCTTTCTCACCAAGCAAAACCACTACATATTTCGCCTACACAACGGTTTGCTAAATGTCGCCCCACAACAGTCAACTAATGTATTAAGTCCACACAACAGTGCACTAATGTATCTAGCACACACAACAGTGAACTAATGTATCCAGCACACACAACAGTGCACTAATGTATCTAGATCACACAACAGTGCACTAATGTATCCAGCACACACAACAGTGCACTAATGTATCTAGCACACACAACAGTGCACTAATGTATCTAGAGCACACAACAGTGCACTAATGTATCTAGCACACACAACAGTGCACTAATGTATCTAGCACACACAACAGTGCACTAATGTATCCAGCACACACAACAGTGCACTAATGTATCTAGCACACACAACAGTGCACTAATGTATCAAGAGCACACAACAGTGCACTAATGTATCCAGCACACACAACAGTGCACTAATGTATCCAGCACACACAACAGTGCACTAATGTATCCAGCACACACAACAGTGCACTAATGTATCTAGCACACACAACAGTGCACTAATGTATCTAGCACACACAACAGTGCACTAATGTATCCAGCACACACAACAGTGCACTAATGTATCCAGCACACACAACAGTGCACTAATGTATCCAGCACACACAACAGTGCACTAATGTATCCAGCACACACAACAGTGCACTAATGTATCTAGCACACACAATAGTGCACTAATGTATCAAGAGCACACAACAGTGCACTAATGTATCTAGAGCACACAACAGTGCACTAATGTATCCAGCACACACAACAGTGCACTAATGTATCTAGCACACACAACAGTGTACAATAAGTTTACTTTACACAACAGTGCACTAATGTATCTAGCACACACAACAGTGCACTAATGTATCAAGAGCACACAACAGTGCACTAATGTATCTAGCACACACAAAAGTGCACTAATGTATCAAGAGCACACAACAGTGCACTAATGTATCTAGCACACACAAAAGTGCACTAATGTATCTAGCACACACAACAGTGCACTAATGTATCAAGAGCACACAACAGTGCACTAATGTATCTAGCACACACAAAAGTGCACTAATGTATCTAGAGCACACAACAGTGCACTAATGTATCCAGCACACAACAGTGCACTAATGTATCAAGAGCACACAACAGTGCACTAATGTATCTAGCACACACAACAGTGCACTAATGTATCAAGAGCACACAACAGTGCACTAATGTATCCAGCACACACAACAGTGCACTAATGTATCAAGAGCACACAACAGTGCACTAATGTATCTAGCACACACAAAAGTGCACTAATGTATCTAGCACACACAACAGTGCACTAATGTATCTAGCACACACAACAGTGCACTAATGTATCCAGCACACACAACAGTGCACTAATGTATCCAGCACACACAACAGTGCACTAATGTATCCAGCACACACAACAGTGTACTAATGTATCTAGCACACACAACAGTGCACTAATGTATCTAGAGCACACAACAGTGCACTAATGTATCCAGCACACACAACAGTGCACTAATGTATCCAGCACACACAACAGTGCACTAATGTATCCAGCACACACAACAGTGCACTAATGTATCTAGCACACACAACAGTGCACTAATGTATCAAGAGCACACAACAGTGCACTAATGTATCTAGAGCACACAACAGTGCACTAATGTATCCAGCACACACAACAGTGCACTAATGTATCCAGCACACACAACAGTGCACTAATGTATCTAGCACACACAACAGTGTACAATAAGTTTACTTTACACAACAGTGCACTAATCATGCTAATGTATCCAGCACCCAACAGTGCACTAATGTATCCAGCACACACAACAGTGCACTAATGTATCTAGCACACACAACAGTGCACTAATGTATCTAGCACACACAAAAGTGCACTAATGTATCTAGAGCACACAACAGTGCACTAATGTATCCAGCACACAACAGTGCACTAATGTATCAAGAGCACACAACAGTGCACTAATGTATCTAGCACACACAAAAGTGAACTAATGTATCAAGAGCACACAACAGTGCACTAATGTATCCAGCACACACAACAGTGCACTAATGTATCAAGAGCACACAACAGTGCACTAATGTATCTAGCACACACAAAAGTGCACTAATGTATCAAGAGCACACAACAGTGCACTAATGTATCTAGCACACACAAAAGTGCACTAATGTATCTAGCACACACAACAGTGCACTAATGTATCAAGAGCACACAACAGTGCACTAATGTATCTAGCACACACAAAAGTGCACTAATGTATCTAGAGCACACAACAGTGCACTAATGTATCCAGCACACAACAGTGCACTAATGTATCAAGAGCACACAACAGTGCACTAATGTATCTAGCACACACAAAAGTGCACTAATGTATCAAGAGCACACAACAGTGCACTAATGTATCTAGCACACACAACAGTGCACTAATGTATCAAGAGCACACAACAGTGCACTAATGTATCCAGCACACACAACAGTGCACTAATGTATCAAGAGCACACAACAGTGCACTAATGTATCCAGCACACACAACAGTGCACTAATGTATCTAGCACACACAACAGTGCACTAATGTATCTAGCACACACAACAGTGCACTAATGTATCAAGAGCACACAACAGTGCACTAATGTATCTAGAGCACACAACAGTGCACTAATGTATCCAGCACACACAACAGTGCACTAATGTATCCAGCACACACAACAGTGCACTAATGTATCTAGCACACACAACAGTGCACTAATGTATCTAGCACACACAAAAGTGCACTAATGTATCTAGAGCACACAACAGTGCACTAATGTATCCAGCACACAACAGTGCACTAATGTATCAAGAGCACACAACAGTGCACTAATGTATCTAGCACACACAAAAGTGCACTAATGTATCAAGAGCACACAACAGTGCACTAATGTATCTAGCACACACAACAGTGCACTAATGTATCTAGAGCACACAACAGTGCACTAATGTATCCAGCACACACAACAGTGCACTAATGTATCAAGAGCACACAACAGTGCACTAATGTATCTAGCACACACAAAAGTGCACTAATGTATCAAGAGCACACAACAGTGCACTAATGTATCTAGCACACACAAAAGTGCACTAATGTATCTAGCACACACAACAGTGCACTAATGTATCAAGAGCACACAACAGTGCACTAATGTATCTAGCACACACAAAAGTGCACTAATGTATCTAGAGCACACAACAGTGCACTAATGTATCCAGCACACAACAGTGCACTAATGTATCAAGAGCACACAACAGTGCACTAATGTATCTAGCACACACAAAAGTGCACTAATGTATCAAGAGCACACAACAGTGCACTAATGTATCTAGCACACACAACAGTGCACTAATGTATCAAGAGCACACAACAGTGCACTAATGTATCCAGCACACACAACAGTGCACTAATGTATCAAGAGCACACAACAGTGCACTAATGTATCTAGCACACACAAAAGTGCACTAATGTATCAAGAGCACACAACAGTGCACTAATGTATCTAGCACACACAACAGTGCACTAATGTATCAAGAGCACACAACAGTGCACTAATGTATCTAGCACACACAAAAGTGCACTAATGTATCAAGAGCACACAACAGTGCACTAATGTATCTAGCACACACAAAAGTGCACTAATGTATCTAGCACACACAACAGTGCACTAATGTATCCAGCACACACAACAGTGCACTAATGTATCCAGCACACACAACAGTGCACTAATGTATCTAGCACACAACAGTGCACTAGTGTATCTGCAGCCACCAAACGGCCAGCTCTAGTGGTTTTTACATAATGTGCAGGCACTAGAGGGATCAAAGCACTATAATGTCCCTCTTACCAAACGGAGTGCAGCACTGGTCCAGTCTCTCCAGCAGAGTGCCCTCTGTGGTCCCGGTCATGCAGTTCTCCACCAGGTCCAGGTTCAACAGGGTCACCCCGTCCAGCACCTGCAGCAGAATCGGCAGCACTCCACCGTCACAAGCCTCTCAATATCACACAACCAGCTTATGCCAACAGCCTAAATAATTTTTAAAAAAGAATATTCCCCATTACACTTAAACAGAACAGATTTTCTCAACATTAAAGTGGACATTAAGGTATTTCGGTACCATGTGTTTCTGTGAGAACTGTGCAGCAGTCTTCTTTACAGTGGGAGCAGAGTCAACCGGCCGGTACTGTACAAACTTCCTCATACTCAGCAGCTCCTGGTCCAACAGAGAGTACTGGAGGTACCTGCACACATGACGATATCACATTACTCCCTGTATATGACACTCACACTACACCACATTAGTCCCTGTATATGACACTCACACTACACCACATTACTCCCTGTATATGACACTCACACTACACCACATTAGTCCCTGTATACGACACTCACACTACATCACATTACTCCCTGAATACGACACTCACCCTACATCACATTACTCCCTGTACATGACAGCCACACTACATCACATTACTCCCTGAATACGACACTCACCCTACATCACATTACTCCCAGTACATGACACTCACACTACATCACATTACTCCCTGTATACGACACTCACACTACATCACATTACTCCCTGTATACGACACTCACCCTACATCACATTACTCCCTGTACATGACATCCACACTACATCACATTACTCCCAGTACATGACACTCACACTACATCACATTACTCCCTGTACATGACAGCCACACTACACCACATTACTCCCAGTACATGACACTCACACTACATCACATTACTCCCTGTACATGACAGCCACACTACACCACATTACTCCCAGTACATGACACTCACACTACATCACATTACTCCCTGTACATGACAGCCACACTACATCACATTACTCCCAGTACATGACACTCACACTACATCACATTACTCCCTGTACATGACAGCCACACTACATCACATTACTCCCTGTACATGACAGCCACACTACATCACATTACTCCATGTACATGACAGCCACACTACATCACATTACTCCCTGTACATGACAGCCACACTACATCACATTACTCCCTGTACATGACAGCCACACTACATCACATTACTCCCAGTACATGACACTCACACTACATCACATTACTCCCTGTACATGACAGCCACACTACATCACATTACTCCCAGTACATGACACTCACACTACATCACATTACTCCCAGTACATGACATCCACACTACATCACATTACTCCCTGTCCATGACAGCCACACTACATCACATTACTCCCTGTACATGACACTCACACTACATCACATTACTCCCTGTACATGACAGCCACACTACATCACATTACTCCCAGTACATGACACTCACACTACATCACATTACTCCCAGTACATGACACTCACACTACATCACATTACTCCCAGTACATGACACTCACACTACATCACATTACTCCCTGTACATGACATCCACACTACATCACATTACTCCCAGTACATGACACTCACACTACATCACATTACTCCCTGTACATGACAGCCACACTACATCACATTACTCCCAGTACATGACACTCACACTACATCACATTACTCCCTGTCCATGACAGCCACACTACATCAAACAGAAAGAAATAACTTTAAGCCTACCATGTTACGGCACCCAGGGAATGCACTGCCAGATCGAACTCATCAGCTGCAGTCAGTCCAAGAGAGTCACCTGAACATGATACATGTATATTCTACAATGTGAAAGACTGAAGGAATTACTTACTTTAATCAGTAGTCAGGATCTTTTATAGAGATAAACCTTAGTATTTTACATAAAACATGAACATCTACAACATCAGTATTTTTGGTTTGCACATATAACTAGTGGCAAAGGGGTTATGCAGCCAATGTCACAATGTGCCTTTGCTTACTTTCAGACATCATTCCTTTCAAGTCTCCAGGCCATTCAAACAATTCTCCATCCATTTTGAAGTAATCTTCCTCTGCTAGTGTCTTCAGAGTCTTGGAGCTGTCCCAGAACTCGGTCCCTGATGCTAATGATTCCTTCAGGGCACTTGACAGATTGGTGTTGATCAACTGCATTGTCTTGGCTGACATCTTCCCTCTCTCATATAACACCTGAAAGAAAATTCAACTGTTGAAAACGTACATGAATAAGGGTTATGTCCCCACATAATTATGCTGGCATGTTTGATTTTATGTGAAGGCATTACCAGTAGACACAGTAGGTTTCACTCACCAGGGAGGGAGTATGGTGGGCGATGACTGTGCGGAGGCGGGAACCGTGCCGGTCATCTGTGAACTGGCCTAGCTGCAACAACAAGCAATATGACGCACACAGGACACGCAGTACACACAAACAACAACTCACTATATCAACACACAATAAACAGACACATAGTCAACACAAAATAAACACAGTCAACACAACAGCACACAATATACAGCCAACACACAACAAACACAGTCAACACACAATAAACAGTCCAGTCAACACACAATAAACAGTCCAGTCAACACACAATAAACAAAGTCCAAACAGTCAACACACAATAAACAGTCAACACACAATAAAAAGTCCAGTCAACACACAATAAACACAGCCAACGGAAAATAACCACACAACTTACAATAAACAGTCAACACACCATATACACTCAACTTACAATAAACAGCCAACACACAATAAACAGTCCAGTCAACACACAAGAAACAGACAACATACAAGAAACAAAGTCTAAACAGTCAACACACAATAAACATTAAACAGTCAACACACAATAAACAAAGTCCAAACCGCCAACACACAATAGACAGTCAACACACAATAAACAAAGTCCAAACCGCCAACACACAATAGACAGTCAACACACAATAAACATATCAGGTTTTTGTAAGGCATTTAGAAGTGATACACATAAGGAAGAGAATATATATGGCTGTCAACTTCTTTATTATGAGAAACACAACGTTTCGGAGTATATGCTTACTCCGTCAGGTGGACCTGTGTTAACAAACTCGACCTGAAATCCGCTATTTCCTGACACGTTCTGAAGGACGGAAACCAAAACATCATGTGGGAAGCCACCAAAGTCCTGTCTACCAACATCAACTGGCGACAAAGAACTACAAGACGCCACTGACATCAGGAGACACCAGCCAGCCATGAACCATGACCAGGGAACCCATCTGCCTTGTGCTTGGGACTAATCACCTAGCTGGCTTCAATTTTGTAGAATTTTCCTATTCGGAATATTCTATAGTAATACGTTACCACTTGTTATACCGAGGCTGTTGTCTCCCACAACTGCTCTTATAGCGAAATCTACCACAGAGATCTCAATTACCTCATGCAGCACATGCCTAGCCACCTCAGCTGCCATGTGACACCCTTCACTCTTGTCTCTAGCGAGAGCAAGTGCTCAGGGGACGGTCAGGAGGGCATCAGCCAAAGTGGTAACGTATTACTATAGAATATTCTGAAAATAGAAAATTCTACAAATTACATTAAGTAATACATTACCACTTGCTATAGTGAGGCTGATTACCACAGTAGGCGGTGGGGAGGCATCTACAACCCGAACCTGACTGCTCGTGTTCCTTCCGACCAGCGGAAGTAAACAACAAGGCGGAAGCACACGATGCACATGCTCCCAGCTTCGCGTTACTCTATAAGAATACCAAAGCACTGTCAAGCGCATACCGTAAGGCTCAATCGTCTTTGCCAAACGACTGGTGACTCCAAACGGCCTCACTGAATAGGTATTTCATCGCCGCAGCGGACGAGAACACAGTATCCGTGTGAGCTAAATCTTAGATCAGGTTAACAGTCGGAAAGAGGGAAATTAATTTCATTCGGACCGTTTATCCCAGAGCAAGCCTACTTCAAGTATGCATTAGGCGCGTGACCTAATTCCAGTACAGTGATCCCTCGCTATTGTGCTCTTCGATAAAGCGCTACCTCGGTTACTACGCGCGGTAACGCATGGCTCCCAAAATTTATGTACACTTTTTTTTGCTGAGAGTTTTACACAGACATGATTGTATTGTTGTTCGTTGTTCGTTGTTCATTTGCACAGAACGCTTCTCATTGCATAATCAACTGTTTATCGCTGAATGGAGTTCTAATAATCTGTTTGAAAACATCCGCAGCAAGTCCCGGAAATACGATTGTTCTGCTAGTTAACTTTTCACACTATACATCATTTGATCTTAGAAGCGCATGCATGCAATAAAAGAGAACCACAAGCGAAGTTCATATTCTTAATTAGTGGGCAATCCAATTTGAGGCGACACTGTCAACTCACATGTAGTTGCTGTCACAACACGGCGGTCATTCCTTTTGATTCAGATCAAGTAACCGTATCAAACCAATTAATCTGGCTTGAATGTGTATCTATATTTGTATGAATGTGTATGAATGCGCACATGTAATAAATTCTAGTGCTGGTCAAAACTTTTGTTTTCCGTATTTCAAGCAACATGACCAATCAATGCCACTGAAACACTCTGTATTTGCGTAACGAATTGTGATTGGCTCTTCACTCATAGCGTCTGTTACTACCATTATCTATCGGTATTTTCATGTAAGTAGACTATATTCACATTGAATGTGACAGTTAAGGCTTGTAAATAATAACAAACGGCAAAAACATAATGGATATATTTTTTACACTATGAACAGTAAACAACTTGTATCATTGCAATGTGCGAGACAAGGCGAAGATCGTGAGATTGGCCGAGCCCGCTCCCCCGCCTCCGCCTTGGTTAAACAGCTCATCGTCTATAACGCCCACCAATTATTTGGACCCCATTGGTAGCATTGTAGCGAGGGACCACTGTATTTGTAAGCATGCATCACAAGGTTGGAATACAGGACAGACAATTAAATACATAATTGTCAAAATACAAATAAGGACAAAACACACAAAAAGCAGCCCTCACCAGTGGTGTGAGTGCGCTGGTTTGTGGGACCCCCACTCCTGTACCCACGGCAGTGGGAACATTGGAGTCGACCCAGATTGACCACCGTGCAATGTCTGACGCTTGAGGAGTTCGGAATTGCACTGGGCACACCCCTTAGATGACCGCTTGCGCCGCGATCAGCGGGTTTGACCCTGCAACCGGTATCCTCCGAGACCGGTACGCCAGATTGATGACAGAACCAAGCCATAACGCAATCGAGTTGCGAGTTATGTCAGCAGTCCAATTAGGGTTACACGATATGAACAGACGGTCATCTAGACAGTCTGCGTTCATTCGAGGCCTTAAGATAATACTTAAGGGAACTAACCGGACACAGTGATCTGTCCTCAGTTCAGTATCAGCAGGATGGATGATTTCCTTGAGTGATCTTACAGTGAATGCTCTCTCCGGAGAAATGCTGTTTTCCAAGTCACATGCCGAAACGAAGCACTACTCAAGGGTTCATACAGAGCTTCCGTAAGTGATTTCAACACTAAGGAAAGATCCCAGGTCGGAGCCAGTGGGCGGCCTCTCTTAAGATCTTGCTGTTTGAAACACTTGATAATACCCCGAAATCACAGGCTCTTTTGAGAGACTGGTACCCATAGCAACGTCCTGTACCGTACCGTAGCAACGGAAGAGACATAGTTGGCAATGGAACCCACGGAGAGTTTCAGGGTCTCTCGTAAGTTAGACATGAAACCAGCAACGTCCTGCACAGATACCTTATCTGGCGAATGAATGTGATGTTTGCAACACCACTTCGTGAAAATAGCCCAGCGTGCATTATACACCTTCTGGGTTGAATCACGATGCATACTAATGTATGCCCGAGAAGACCGAAGAGAAAAACCTTTACTCCTCAGTTGCTCGGTGACAACATCCACGCGTGCATATTGAACTGCCCTGCGTTTGGATGAAGTTGACGGGTGTGAGGATGGATCAGTAGATCTGGTCTCACAGACAGTGGAATTGGCGACTGCGTGACCTGGGCCAGCAAGTCTGGGTACCACGATCTGTTCGGCCACATGGGCACGATCAGGAACATTTGACAGCAAACTCCTCGGAGCTGGCTTAGAATGAGTGGTATTAACGCCGTCGGCGGGTAAGCATAAGCGTCCATGCCCGTCCAGTCTAATGTGAGAGCATCGTGATCGATGGCCCTCGGGTCCAGGACTGGTGATACAAACAACGGGAGTTGATTGTTGAACCTGGTTGCGAACAGGTCGACCATCAGACGACCCAGACGTTCACACAGCCACTGAAACACTACTGGATTGAGCATCCACTCCGTGGGGCTCGGATCCCGAGGCCTCGACAGAGCGTCTGCCAGTACGTTCCGCACACCGGGAATGTGACAGGCACATACTTGGCACGGGATACTGTCCACCAGACCGTAAAACTCAAACGTGAGATCGAGTAGCGAGTGACTGTGGGTTCCCCCCAGTTTGTTCACATAAGACGCTACCGTCGCGTTGTCGGTCGCCAGCATGAGCCAAGCGTCGACAAGACTATGCTTCCAGTGATTGACTGCGTTGACAACTGCCTTGAACTCGAGGCAATTGATGTGAAGACCTAGTTCGTCTACGCACCACAGCCCCGAGCTCACCTCCCCCTCTAGATGGGCGCCCCAACCCACTAGAGAGGCGTCTGTATACAGGTTCAACGTGGCCTGGAAGGGCCGCATAGACTCCTGATAAGACATTGCAAGGGCCCGTCCACCACTCCAGATGCAGTCGGAGCCGATCTGGGAGGGCAACGGACGCACTGTTCTCCTCCTGTGCTAACAACTGGATTAGAAACCGTTGCAGCGGGCGGAGTTAGAGACGAACCCGTTCGGTGCAGTCCTGGGCTGACACAAGTAGCCCTAACAGCTGTTCCCAAAAGTGAACCGTCTGTTGCACCGCTAAAACTTTGGCAATCATCACCTGAATCTTGTGCCACCGGTCTGGGGGGACAAAAAGGCGATGGGTCACTGTGTCAAACCGACCTCCGATGAACTTGGGGAGAATGACAATCCACCCCAATTGCTCCAAGAGCCGAAGTACGAAATCGAGTTGACGTGACAGCACGTCTGTCATCCGATTCGTCACTAGTGAGTCGGCCAGGTACACAAAGTACCTGACACCCCTCTTGTGGAGGAACACCACTATGGGGGTGGTTAACCGGGTGAACAGCCAGGGAGTGAACAATAGGCCGAATGGGAGTGCTACCCACTCGTAATGCCTGCCGTGAAAGACAAACGTGAGATACTTGTGATGGTCTGGATGGATCGGAACATGCAGATAAGCATCCTTCAGGTCGATTGATGCGAGCCAGTCGGCGGGCATGATCAGAGCTTTCAGGTCTGCCAAGGTCAGAATTCTGAACTTTGGCGGCTTTTGCAGGTAAAACTCGTTGAGTTTGGCACTGTCCTTCTTGGGAACAAGAAATATCCTGGAGTAAAACCCCGGTGTTATTTCTGGTAGCGCTAACTCCCGTACCGCCCTCTTCTCCACCAACCAGCTGATGGCATCGGCCAGGATGGGAAGATCGGTTTCCGAATAGAAACCTTCAAACGGGGCAACAGTGAGCGGCGGATCCGCTTTGAGATCTAGCCGATAGCCGTACCGGATCGTGTTGACCACCCACGGGTCGTCGAACACTTGTTCCCAGTTCTCCCAGTTAGTCTGGAGTCTGGCTCCCACCTGGGAAGGAGAGGGGGGCCTGACAGGCTGCGGCAGGCGCAACTGTCAAGGGCCGAGCAACTCGGGTTCGCCTACGGGCCAACCGAAGTTGACGCTGTCGGCATACAAACCCCTCCAGTGAGAGTCACCTGGAGGAGCCCTTGCCGTCTCTAGACAGCTTGGACGTCCCCCAGTTCCCCTTCTTCCGCCGAAAGGGCTGCTTATTGCCCTTACCGGAGCCCTCAGGGCGGGGCTTCTTCCCGGAAGAAGGACCCGAGCCCTTAGATTTGCCGCAGCATCCTGGGGGGCACTCCACTTAGGGGCAGCACCCAGGCGTCTATGCAGGGACCCAACAAGATCGAGTGTGTGCCGAGAGGCTTCGGCAGACGAAGAAGCCTGTTGTTCTTTCAGAACCCTAGGGATCTTGTTGTTAAAAAGGGTCCGCGCAGACCAAGGCTGCGAAAGGAGCACTTCCTGGATGGCAGCGTCCAACCCCGAGGCCTCAGAAAAAAACGAGCAAGCAGTTGTAAATGCGCTGGTCTCGGTCCGTGGGAGAACCTTCAACCAGACTGGCCACTGCAGCCAAGTACGTGTCTCCGTGAGACATGGCAAGCATGGAGGGCCGAGCGAGGGTGTCCACGGACACCCAACCGCTCAACATGGGCCTCCCCAGTAGGACCAGCCTCGAGAAAGGCAAGGTCATGATCCGGGAATGAACCCTTTCTCCATAACGGAGGAGGCAACGGGAGACCCCGACCGGAGGCCGCCGCAAAGGCTTTCTCCAAGGAAGGCTTGATCCCGCGCAACAAGGTTGATGCGGGGAAAGCCTTGTCTGAAAACTCCTCGAATACCTCGGCGGAACCCACAGAGCAATGGATTCCCCGCGGTACCGGCAGGGGCTTAGGCATGTCCTCAAAGAGGTCATATACCATAGCCACCCGGTTCTTAACCGATAGCTGGACCAGTGGACCCCGCGGCTACCGAAGAGGCCGGGGACGGAACAGCCAGCGGCCTATCCTGAAATAAGGCTGCCAGCTTGGAGTCCACAAGTTGAGAAAGTAACGCTGTGACGGAATCCCCGGACAGACCAAGGGCTGCTAAGGGATCTGCTGCAGCCGTGGAGGTGGTACCCGCAAGGGGACCCCGACCGGACGAGCCGGCCACCACAGGGGTGGAAACAGACTTCACGTACAGCCTGTAGCGCTCGAACGCCTCAGGCCCCAGACCCTCGCACAGGGCACACCAGGTGTCCCCGCAAGGAACCCTGCACTGCGGGCAACAATCGTGGGGATCCCGAGAAGAGAGGAATTTACGGCACGCCCCGCAACTCCTGGTTGCGGGGGTAGAGGGGGTGGAGGAAGGCGAAACTTCCATGTTTGACATGGTTTACTATGAACAAAGAGTAAAACATGGTTACAACACACGCACCACCAATATTCACAAACGAACATTTTCACAAGAAAATAAACGAGCATTGCGAATATAGAACATACACATATAGCATATAGAGAAATAGGTGATGTAAACCCCAGAGACATACTAAAACAGGGGAATGTAAGATGCAACGTGCATACGAGACACCCCGAAAGTATATAGAAAAAAGGGCGGGAAAATTTTCCTTTTGGTGGGAAAAAATTTTCCAAGCGTAGTTACAGCAAACGCCCCGAAATGCACAGTTTATATGAGTCAATAAACAGTAATAAATATCACCAAAGGTTGGAGAAACAGGAACACTTCAGAGCAGTCAATATACGTCTTGCTGGAGCAAGCGAAGAGACAAGAGTGAAGGGTGTCGCATGGCAGCTGAGGTGCCTATGCACCTGCTGCATGAGGTAATTGAGATCTCTGTGGTAGATTTTGCTATAAGAGCAGTTGTGGGAGACAACAGCCTCGGTATAACAAGTGGTAACGTTTTACTTAATGTAATTTCCCTTTGCTATGTCCATTCTTTCACCTATCAGTGCTAATTGAAATTAGCCAACACATAATAAACATTCAAAGCACAATAAACAGTCAACACACAAATAAACAGTCCAAACACAGTCAACGTCATTAATTATTTCCAGACCTTGAACATTACTCACAAAGTGTGTCAATGGCAGAGCAAGACATGCTTACAGGCTTTACTAGGCTTTGGTAACAGGCCAATAGTTCCCTTCATGGAGCCACCTCACAACAGTTGTACATTTAGCATCACACCAACAACCAGAAACTATTGTCATATATAGAGAATACTACACTCATTCCATAGGAAGTTCAAGAGTTTCGTTAAAACGAGAATGAGAATGAGTGTGGTATTTTATTTATTACCTATGTAAAATATGTATCGAAGTGTAGATACAAAACAACTTTCATTCACTAACAGACCAAACTGAAACCGGTTGCAAATTTGGTTGCGCATGAATATTGATATATGCCCAAATATGGGCATTAACATTTTTACGCATACACTTTAACATTTTTCTGCTGTTGTGTGTGCAAACATGACAGCACAAATGCTCAAGATTTTTTTTTTTAGAATTTCTTCAACTCAAGATGACTCAAGCGCATTGTTGTTAGTACCCAGGACAACTGTGTAAAGTTTAAAAGGTCAATCAGCGCCGTGCTTTGAATTTCGGACCAACACTGTAACTCGCATCGACGTTGTCACGGCTGTGCAATCAAAATGGTTCAGTTTCCTTGATAAAACGAATAAAATGATTTCAACCTTGTTCGACAGACGTGGCGTACAGATTAAGCATCTTATCACCTTTATCTTCACCTTGTGGGTAATAAATATAAGATAGCAACTGTCTCCAGGCAGCCATGATCACAACTTACATGGAATATTCCAACAGACGTGTCTATGAAACAAACACCGTACATACTGCCTCCATCAGATCCGGCCTCCTGCAACACACAAGCCACCATCAGCACAATGACACTTGAAAACACATTGGTCATGAGTTAGCAATATCATTCTCTTGAGCTGGTTGCAGAATACCTTACTATAATCTAACGAAGCATGCTCACCTTCTCAGATATGGCCAGTAGGTAGTTGCTGTCAACATCGCTGCAGTCTCCCTCCACATGACGATACGTCTTGGTGCCCCTGGACGTCACCTGACACACCTCTCTCTTTACAACCTTATCAAACTTGGTTGCAGTCCGCGACACTAAGGGACAAGGGAAAGGAATCTCAATGTAGGGCGTTAACTCACTTAAGTAACAGAAGCAGCAGGATTGTCAAGATGTATCTCGTGCCGAAGGCAGAACAAAACTTCAAAAGGCTACTGAAACTGGGCTACAAAGTAAGGCTCATCCAGCACAGATGCTGCGGGGTCATTCTTCTGTAGTTTGAACCTGGATTTGAAATTAATGGTAGAAAGACTTTAACAAATGACACCTAAAACACACAAATGTCTAGCACAAGCGATAGCAACACTACAATCATCTTCCCGAGGCAAGGGCGTTAACCCTTGTTGAACTAGTCGAGTTACAGTCCATGGGACTTTCATGAATAAAGTTCCTTTGCAGTGCAAATGAGCTAGAACCATGGGACTTTGTGGTACAATGTTCCTCTGCGGTGCAAATGAGCTAGAACCATGGGACTTTGTGCTACAAAGTTCCACTGCAGTGCAAATGAGCTAGAACCATGGGACTTTCTGGTACAAAGTTCCACTGCAGTAAGAAGTGTTTTGCCCAATCTGTAAGTCACATGCTAACAGAGCTAAAGCCATGAAGAATTTTGGTTAAGTACATTTTTTTCTGAATAGCCAAATGATACACCATGCAACTGGACGACCATGTATGTCAAACTTGATAATCCAATACGCCCAAGTTTATCTGGTAACTCAGAAACCACTTGTCCATTTTTTTTCCAAATTAGAGGTGTACCGGTGTGTAGATTATGTTGATAGGTGCACTCAGAAATTGTAGACTAAAACCTCTCAAGACATAGTGGAAACAATTAAAAAATAATTCATTCCAAAGCAACATATTTTAAGCTATTGCTCCTCAACCGCTCAATGTCAAACTTGACAAATTTACGATATGAAAAACATATTTTGTTTAAAAAAATACACATATCAATATCAAACTTTGCACTGCATCTCTGCTCTAAGTTTGGAAACTGTTTCATAAATTTGAAAAGAATCCAGTAGTTTTCAAGTTAAAGGTTGCACAAATGTTCCAGTAAAATACTTAGCTGTATATAATATAATGTAGCTGTACTTTTTCAGAAATTAGTAAAGTCTAAATATTTTTTACATTTGTATATTTATCCTGCATTGCTCCTTAATGCATTCACTGCTTACCTTATGACAACCAACAGACAGCGTAAGGCGATTGTCTTGAGTGAAGAAATAAAGTTGTTTCGTATTCTGTTTCCACTTTTATCGCAGCTGTCATGTGACCTTGATGAGAAGGTTACTTGTCATCAAGGTCACATGACAGCTGCAATTGTCCGTATAAAAGTGTCCGTATCTGTATCGGACAGTTTGGAGGCGGTTATACCTTTAGAAAGTCCAAAAACCTCAATAATTCACACCCCATAACAACAACACATGTTTGTTGATAACCTCAGAGGCGGAAAAGTTCAGAAAAACACCATTACGGAAATGTCGTTCAATCTTCTTTCAGTGAGTGAGTATGGTTTTACGCCGCTTTTAGCAATAATCCAGCAATATCACGGCAGGGTACACCAGAAATGGGCTTCACACATTATACCCATGTGGGGTATTGTCGAAGGTATTCAGCTAGGAATTGTGGTGACGCAGTTGTGGGGTCTTGGCTTAATGCCTTGCAAAAAATCTCAAATGATCCCCACTTGCCATTGTGTAATCCTCTGGCGGAGAGACAATGTGCTAAAGCTATAGTTTTAGCTGCCCATGCCGAATAGCCCTTTGCACTTAACGCCTTTTCAAGATGAACCCAGATAAAGAGACTCCTCCTAAGACATTTGACTCTACCATCCACCAATTGAGGATAGGCCTTAGAGGGGCCGGTAGAGTGATGGCCTTGAGTGGATCCTGACGCCTGATGTAAGGGTTCAGGAATTGTTGAATTGGGCGCAGTTGTAATCGGCCTCTGCTGGTTAAGTCAAGCGGCCTCTGCTGGTTAAGTCCTGTACCGAAGTGAGTAACCCTGGCAACACTTGCCATTGGTGAAGCGTGCTTGGTTGGTGTAGTGCAGGTAACAAGAGGCGTAAAATTTTGTGCCATCTGTCCCTCAGTACTGATAGGAGATCCTGGTCTTATTGGAACAGGCCTCCTATGAACTGGAGCTGATAAGATGGAGTTAACTCCGACTTCGCCTTGTTGATTATCCATCCCAGTTGATATAGTAGCCGCCTGGTAATTCCCAGTGGCGTACTAACGTCGGAATGTGTTGATGACAGGAGACAGTCGTCTGTACGACTAGAACCAAAAGTTCCTCAGGTGTAGAAACGCAGTTATTGGCTTCATTATTCATGTAAATATACCACGGGTACACTGAAATGCCCAATTGGAGAACTGCTCTTTAGTAGAGAACTCTATTGAACAGGATCCTGAGGAACCTGCGGTCGGAGGGATGGATAGGTATATAGATGTTATCATGCGAGTGTGTTCGGGATGGTAAATATCCTCCATTAGGAATAAACATTGTATTTAGCGAGCCTTAGCGAGCTAAATACGAGGGGTGTTCATTAAAGATTTCCCCTGACCCACTTGCTATGGACCTAGTGGAATGAAACTTGGCATAGGTATTGTCTTTCTCCACATAGGAACCACCAAGAGTTACACACTTCTCCCATCGTTTTATGCAACTATGGAGACCTCGCTTGTAAAAGCCCTCATTTTGCATCTCAAACCAGGACTTGACTTCAGAAATCAGTGTTTCATCATCTGTGAAACATTTTTCCTTCAAAAATGACTTCATGGTTGGAAAGAGGTGGAAGTCAGATGATGCAAGGTCAGGAGAGTAAGGAGGATGTGGAAGGATTTCATAGCCACAGGACCGCGCTTCTGTCTGGGCAACATGAGAGTTGTGTACTGGAGCATTGTCTTGCAGGGGACAGACACCCTTGGTCAGCATGCCACGCCTCTTAAGCTTGATAGCGTCCCGCAATTTCCGCAGCAGTGAAGCATAATAAGCTCCTGTAATTGTGGTACCCTTTGCCAAGAAATCCATCATCACTACTCCGTGCTGGTCCCAAAACACTGTGAGCATGACCTTGCCTGCAGAGGGTTGGACACGTGCCTTCTTTGGGGGTGGTGAATCCACATGCTTCCATTGCATCGACCGAACTTTAGTCTCAGGTTCATAGTGATGGACCCATGTTTCATCCTGTGTGATAAGTCTGTCAAAAAAGTTTGCCTGGTTTTTTTGGCACATGTCCAAAAGATCCTTTGAGCAATTGACTCGTTCCTGCTTTTGGAAAGGTGTGAGCAACCTGGGAATCCATCGTGCAGACACCTTATGCATGTTCAAATTGTCATGGCTGATTTTTTCCACAGACCCTACACTGATCTTGACATCTTGTGCTAACTGGCAAACAGTTATACGTCGGTCTGCCAAAATGGCAGTCTCCACTTGATGGATAGTGTCCTCATCAATGGCTGAATGGGGGCGACCAGAAATGGCAGCTTTTTCCACAGATGTCCGACCACACTTGAACTGGCGATGCCAGTGTTTAACAACGTCATATGATGGGGCATCTTCCCCATAAGTTGCTTTCATTTCATCGAAAGTTTCTTTTGGTGTGCGACCTTTCCAATATAAAAACCTAATCACTGCTTGGTATTCTACTGGCTCCATTGTCACACCCTACTCGATCATAACACCTGTAAAAGTGGTAAGATTAATAGTTCGGTGCTGCAAATTCAGACATTACCCATAGATACATGTATCATTACACATATGAAATTTCAACCAAATATGATAACCCTAAGTGGTTTAGGGGAAATCTTTAATGAACACCCCTCGTACATAGTGTTTATTCCTAATACAGGATATTTACCATCCACAAACACACAAACGTGATAACCTCTTTATCACATAATGTCATTCTTTACTTCTGTAGTTGAAAATCGCTTTCCCTCTCTCTCAAACATTACCTAAACATTGCGAGGTTTTCCTGGAATGCGCATTAATATTTATTACTTCACAGGGTAAGTGATGTGTCACTCGGACAGTGACAGTGGCCAATATAGTTCCAACTGAAATCTGTTTCTTATACAGTGGCAAAGCAACATATACGCAAAACAACAATTGATTTTACTTGCATTTCGCGGCAATCATCGGTCTGTCTGCTAGAGTAATTGCCCTTTGTAAAAGGGAAGCTACTCTAACCCTCGTCTATGAGACGTCACGGCCACGGTCAGACGTTGTTGACAGTCGGCCTGTCCTGTCATAACGTTAAGAAGTGCAATCAGATGTACACACAGCGACAAAACGAAACAAGGTAACAATTCAAACATATTTCGGCCAAATCCAACTATTTTCATTTGTGGAAAAGGTGTCAAGCCGCAGAGGTCTACAAGCACAGATATGGCTACTGATCCCGCTTGGCTAGGCCTAGTGCCCTCACAAGACTGATTCGAAATTTATATCCAAAGTTGCCAAAACTTATAAAATGCCTTAGCAACATCACAGTTAGACACTGATTTTAAGTATATTAGACTGTTCTTTTGATAATGAAAGTAATTATCCCTTTAGTTTATCCAGATTCCCGATGGTTAATTCTGACTCGATTGCCGAATGACGAGGGCGACGCCATGTTTGTTTATAAACACTGTAAGTAGTCCCTACTTGACCTTTGATATTTGCATCTCTATCCCCATATGACCCCAACGGATATCATTTTTATCCGTTGGCTTTATGCTGCTAAGAAACCTACCCATTATATGATAAATGCAGGTAGGCATCCTGCAGGTCGAGACTGATCAAGGAATCAAACGCATGGATGTTGGTTCAATGTGGTGAGGTGGAAGTAAGGTGGACGCTTCAGGTAACGTTCGTTGAACACGGAGAGATTGTGGATCATTTTCATCTTGGGTACCAGAAAGATGTGCGAAATAAACAGTGACAACTCTGGGGCGTGTACAATCCCTACAGCTCTCTTTACCAACAGTATGTCTATGTTGGCCTTTAACAGCAGATGTTGCTTTCTTGCATATTTCCAAGGATGGGGAGCTGTGGTCAACGGAGGAATTACCTCTACGTCTAGACAGTAACCATGACGTAGTACGTTGAGAACATAATCGTCCTTGAGGATGGTCCAGTTCTTCCAAAGCAGATTCAGTCTCCCGCCTATGGGGGAATCAACAACTGGGACGGCTGGACGGTTCTATGAACGCCATTCTGGTATCCTGACCCTTAAGGTTGGTTGGCCTTGACGAGCCTGTCATCCTTTGTATGTCCTCATCCAAACTATGAGCTTGGTCTGCTACCACAAAAGCATGGATAGGAAAAATCACCCTTCCTAACCTTGGGTGTCTTGAAATGACGGAGCAAGTGTGAGCTTGGAGAAGTCTTCCTCCAATACCAGGGGAGGATGCCACTGACACGAGATGGTGTGCTACCCAATCAGCTACTTGCGCTAAGCCGAGATGCGTATTCTACAGAAGAATCGCCATTTGAAGAGTCCAAACAATGTTGACACACTCGCTGAGACGGCGATTGGCTTATGCTCTAGTGCACAGCACTTCCTCTAACGGTGGGCTTAGATGACCCAACTAGTGATAAGGAGTCATGTCCAGACGTCCATGTACGCGCTGCCAAGCGATGTATGCGCTGTACCAGAATGCACAATAGGTGTATGGTGTACATTAGGCGCGGGTGTAGGCACTAACCCTTGTGTGGTAGTTGTAGCTGACACAGGCGTCTGGTAGTTAGGCGTAGGTGTAGGCACAGACTGCTGCCACATGGACTGCATAAACTTTAGCATCCAATTAGTGTTCTGCTTGCGCCTGCGCTACCCCAATCAAGGCATCTTGAGACGCTCAAAACTCGCTGGAGAGAGAGTTACACAAAAATTACATTAAGAGTCTGGAGAGCAAATCTGCGTGCATGCCAAACATCTTTGGAAGAATTGTTGATGAAACAGAGTTGGAAGATTGCCATAGAATTAAACAGTATTCTATTGGCAAATATTTTTACGAGTTGAAAGTGTATATAATTATTGATACACGCAAACTCAACATAACGCCAAAGCTACTACCGTAGTATTTAAAAACACATGAATATGTCATAAATACGTAGCTGAGAATTGTAAACAATTTGACTATGTTTGCAGGCAAACAATTTAAACACAAATTCAAAGCATGTGGCGAGGAAAAAAGACAAATTCTTTTAATGCCTAAATTACATACATAAAACTACACAAAATGGTGAAAGTAATATGAAAAGAATACATCAGCCATCGCAGATAAAATTTAGAATTATAGCCGAAGCTGGTCTAAAATTATCCAGTTTGAAGAGCTCCGCTGAGACACGTCCTTGCTGTTCCTCGACAGGCAGTGATGTGAAGAAGGTGTCTTGTCATTAAGGTCACATGACAGCAGCGATGGTCCGTATAAAAGTGGGAACGGAATACACAACTTCTTCACCCAAGACCATCGCCTTACGCTGTCTTTGTGTTGTCATAAGGTAAGCAGTGAATGCATTGAGTAGTGCAGGATAAGTAAAAAATATGTATTTTGTAGAGTAAAACTATCATTTATACTTATCCTGACTCATACTTATGCTTGTCACTCTTTTCCGAATAGGTAGTGGAAACTTTCTGTGCTGTGTTCTCCAAGAACAGAGAGAACAGAGAAAACAGCTCACCCAAAACAAACTCTACCCTATAGAACCTAAGTCCAAATTGTTGCAATGGAAACGTAAAAAATAAAAATTTATAAAATTCCTAAATAGCAAAAGGCACCAGTTCAGTATGTGCCTAGTAGACATGCAAAGTTTTGTAAGAAAGTATTAAATGGTTTTTGAGTTACGCCCTGGAAACATACAGCACCCTTATAGAACCTAAGTCCAACTTGTTGCCATGTAAACGTAAAAAATAAAATTTAATAAAACTCCTAAATAGCAAAAGGCACCAGTTCAGTATGTGTCTGGTAAACATGCAAAGTTTTGTAAGAAATTATTTAACGGTTTTTGAGTTACGCTCTGGAAATGAAGAGCACCCTAATAGAACCTAAGTCCAACTTGCTGCCATGGAAACGTAAAAAAATAAAAGTTTATAAAATTCCTAAATAGCAAAAGGCACCATTTCAGCACGGACGCACGGACGCACGGACGCACGCACCCACGCCGTTGGGGCGGGGGATAATATGTATTTCAGACATTGTGAAATGTGATAGATTAAATAAATGAATGATATGACAGGTAGGTTTATAAAATAATATACTGTTTTGACGTGACTACAGCATGCCCGGTCTACCGTTCTACGGTGTCTGGGGACTTGATGCTTCTTGGCCGGTTATACTGGCCTGTTGAAAGAGTTTTTCATATGGAGGTTTATCGGTATACCGGTAATACCGTGCAGCCCTACTCGCGGCTATCTAAGTCAACCCAACACTGCTTTGTATTCTGATGAACTAAATGTGAAGCCATGCAAGGGGTAATGCAGAAAGGAGGAGTTTCCTTGGAGCCCTACAATGCAGGTTGCAGCAATTTATGAAGCATTTGTTTCATCTTCCCAATTGTGGAGAGCACATCTTACTGTGTTTACATCTCTCAGACATCATGTCTGGGGTCTCCGTCTGTTCCACCCTGGCCACCTTGTAGCCCTTCTGTATCAGGGAGTCTGCATACCTTGTGTATGCAATCTCTGGGAATCCTGAATGGGCATGTTCTCCCTGAAGACAGATAAATATGGGTTACAGGGACATATACTGTCAAACATGGGTTCCAGGGACGAATACCTTTCTGTCAAACATGGGGTACAGATACAAATACTATCAAACATGGGGTACAGATACGAATACTATCAAACATGGGTTACAGACACAATTACTGTCAAACATGGGTTACAGAGACGAATATTGTCAAACATGGGTTACAGAGATGAAAACTGTCAAACATGGGTTACAGAGATGAATACTGTCAAACATGGGTTACAGAGATGAATACTGTCAAACATGGGTTACAGAGACGAATACTGTCAAACATGGTTTACAGAGATGAATACTGTCAAACATGGGTTACAGGGACCAATACTGTCAAACATGGTTTACAGAGATGAATACTGTCAAACATGGGTTAGAGAGATGAATACTGTCAAACATGGGTTACAAGGACGAATACTGTCAAACATGAGTGAAAGGGACCAATACTGTCAAAGATGGGTTACAGGGATGAATACTGTCAAACATGGGTTACAGAGACGAATACTGTCAAACATGGGTTACAGAGACGAATACTGTTAAACATGGGTTACAGACACAAATACTGTCAAACATGGGTTACAGAGACGAATATTGTCAAACATGGGTTACAGAGATGAATACTGTCAAACATGGGTTACAGAGACGAATACTGTCAAACATGGTTTACAGAGATGAATACTGTCAAACATGGGTTACAGGGACCAATACTGTCAAACATGGTTTACAGGGATGAATACTGTCAAACATGGGTTAGAGAGATGAATACTGTCAAACATGGGTTACAAGGACGAATACTGTCAAACATGAGTGAAAGGGACCAATACTGTCAAACATGGGTTACAGGGATGAATACTGTCAAACATGGGTTACAGAGACGAATACTGTCAAACATGGGTTACAGAGACGAATACTGTTAAACATGGGTTACCATGGTTACAGTGATGAATACTGTCAAACATGGGTTACAAGGACGAATACTGTCAAACATGGGTTAGAGAGATGAATACTGTCAAACATGTGTTACAAGGACGAATACTGTCAAACATGGGTTACAGAGATGAATACTGTAAAACATGGGTTACAGAGACAAATACTGTCAAACATGGGTTACAAGGACGAATACTGTCAAACATGGGTTACAGAGATGAATACTGTCAAACATGGGTTACAATGACGAATACTGTCAAACATGGGTTACAATGACGAATACTGTCAAACATGGTTTACAGAGACGAATACTGTCAAACATGGGTTACAGAGGTGAATACTGTCAAACATGAGTTACAGGGATGAATACTGTCAAACATGGGTTACAGAGACGAATACTGTCAAACATGGGTTCCAGTTAGTGAGTTAGTATGGTTTTACGCCGTATTCCAGTTATAGGGACGAATACTGTCAAACATGGGTGAAAGGGAGGAGTGCTGTCAGCTACACATGGGTGAAAGGGAGGAGTGCTGTCAGCTACACATGGGTGAAAGGGAGGAGTGCTGTCAGCTACACATGGGTAAAAGGGAGGAGTGCTGTCAGCTACACATGGGTGAAAGGGAGGAGTGCTGTCAGCTACACATGGGTGAAAGGGAGGAGTGCTGTCAGCTACACATGGGTGAAAGGGAGGAGTGCTGTCAGCTACACATGGGTGAAAGGGAGGAGTGATGTCAGCTACACATGGGTGAAAGGGAGGAGTGCTGTCAGCTACACATGGGTGAAAGGGAGGAGTGATGTCAGCTACACATGGGTGAAAGGGAGGAGTGCTGTCAGCTACACATGGGTAAAAGGGAGGAGTGCTGTCAGCTACACATGGGTGAAAGGGAGGAGTGATGTCAGCTACACCACGGTGAAAAAAGAGGTGTATTGTCACATTTATATTCACCTTCCTTATTTATATTTTCTGGAAACATGACAGGTCCATGACAAGGTCATGCTTCTATTACATGACTAAAATACTTTTGCTGTGTTTTACACATTTAGTGCTGCATTTCATTGGTGATGCAATGGTCAAATTGCAACTAGAGCACTTTTCAACCTGTTTGTACTCTACTCACAGATTACAGTACACATTCTATCAGGCGAAGATCAAGCAATATTATTTCAACTAAGCAGAAAAAAATGTACAATAATCGAAGAAGTATTTGGGATGAACTGTTACCTTCATGTAAATAAGTCCTAGCTCAGAAACACCAATCACTGCATCCATGTGGAACAGCTCATAGAATTTACCCATCTGGAATAGAACACTATGTTGTTAACATGCCCTTACAACATCACATAGTGACTTCTTTCATGTCAAAGCACCAAATTGTCAAAAGAGCATGGAAGTTTCTCAAACAAGGAAAGAGGATATTGACCCAGGATTCCAAGTGGGAATATTGACCTAGGATTCCGAGAGAGGATATTGACCTAGGATTCCAAGAGAGGATATTGACCCAGGATTCCAAGTGGGAATATTGACCTAGGATTCCGAGAGAGGATATTGACCTAAGATTCCAAGAGAGGATATTGACCCAGGATTCCAAGTGGGAATATTGACCTAGGATTCCGAGAGAGGATATTGACCTAGGATTCCAAGAGAGGATATTGACCCAGGATTCCAAGTGGGGTTATTGACCTAGGATTCCGTGCCGAAGGTACTCAAACAAGGAGAGAGGATATTGACCTTGGATTCTGAGAGGAAATTGACCTAGGATTCTGAGAAGATATTGACCTAGGATGCCATGTGGAAGGTACACAAACAAGGAAAGAGAATATTGAACTAGGATCCTTTGCGGTAGGTGTGTAAACATGGAGAGAATATTGACCTAGGATTCTGGGCGGAAGGTACACATACAAGGAAAGAGAATATTGAACTAGGATCCTGTGTGGAATGATATCAACCTACCTTGAAAAACAAAATGGTGTCATAATGATGTGCTTTCAACTCCCACCACTGCCGCATGGCCTGCAACACACAGAAGGAGCTCAACCAAGGAACATGAGGGCAGTCAGCACAATCAGCTACCAAATTAACCATGCTCAAATAAGGACTAAAAGGAATTTGTCTGACACTTACAGGAGTTTGTTTCTTCATGAACGTGTCTGGTACCATTACTGTCCTTGGGTCGTAGTCATCAGTATTCTGTTTTCTCCCCTTTATATCTCTGTGAATGAACAAACCTTGATTAACAATACAGACATTCTTACTCTCTTGCTGTTATAGTCGGACTTCCTATTACAGTAATCTCAAAATCCACATCCCCTGCCCACAGTTTACTTATGCAAATCCTACATTTCATGCTTGATTGAATACAGGACTCATTACAGTATGTCACGGTTACTTGCAAGTTAACACGTTTACTTTTATATAAGAGTTCTGAAATGTTTTTAAAGTGGAATTACCCCCACACCTGTAAAGCACATATTCCACATGTATCACACCATAAAAAAGCAATACCGCAGTAATATAGAGCTGTCCACCCTTGAGTTGCTATGACAGGTACTTTGTTTACCAAACTTGCTAAAGAATATCAGCATCAATCCTAAATGATGTGTCATTAAAGTTGAACAAAGAACAAAAAACATTTTGCATATGACAGATATAATAGGTCAGCAAGCGTGCACCATTACGATCCATTATAAATACCATGATTACACTGAGAAACATGATCAGACAATCGACCTACTTTTGTCTTACAGACATTCCAGTCTCTCACCTAATCTTGTCTGGTTGTAGGAAGTCCAGCTTCACATGAGGGAAATCTCCCTGAATGTCAGGGGTGTCTGTCACTACCTGAAAACAAGGTGAAGTTTGCTTCAACTGACTTGGATTTGTGTTTGTTTCTCATTTCTTGTTTAATGCCGCACTCAGCAATATTCCAGCTATATGACGGCGGTCTGTAAAATATTCGAGTCTGGACCAGACAATCCAGTGATTGACAGCATAAGCATCGATCCATGCAATTGGGATCAATGACATGTATCAACTTAGTCAGCGAGCCTGACCACCCGATCCCGTTAGTCGCCTTTTACGACAAGCATAGTCGCCTTTTACAGCAAGTATGGGTTGCTGAAGACCTATTCTACCCCGGAATCTTCACGGGTTCCGCACTAAGCAATATTCCAGCTACATGACGGTGGTCTGTAAATACTAGTATCTGAACTGGACAATCCAGTGATTGAGATCATGCGCATCGATCTACCATGGGATACAATGGCATGCATCAAACCTCTGAAAAGCATGGGTTGCTGAAGCCCTGGATCTTCACGGTTATCCAAGGAGAATAGTTAATATAATGCAATACAATTTTTATAAATTCTATCACAAAGAGTAATATCCCAATGATTTGAACATAATATGATGTCATCATAAGAAGGAAAACACATGAATGCCAAAGTCCAGCTTCCTCAGTCTGGCAACTTCAGAGATGTTTACAGATCCAAACACCTTTTTGAACCGAAATGGTTGAGCAGTGACCATAAACATGTTGTAACTACAGCTGCTGCAGGAGCTATGTTGAAAATAAGATTCAAACCTCTTGCACAAATTCAGATGTCTTCAATGGTGGAAACAAGAATGTGAAGTTGCAGCTTCATTGGTTCAGTGGTTTCTGAGGAGATGTTTTCAGTGCAGGGAAAAGAATTTTGAAAGAATCTAGGAGCATGGTCAAAGTGAAAAGGTCAAATCAAGGTCAAAATATCTCAAAACACAGAACATATGTTGTGCCTCACTACTAACTACACATGTATAACATTTCATGAAATTCTGAAAGTCCATATGTAATATTAAAGTAGGGCTGCCATGGCATCCATACTGATAATCTGATTTGAACATCCTGAATTTAAATTTAGGTGTCATCATTGACGGGAACATATGAGAAGTTCAGCTTCACTGGCTTCAATGGGATACTGAGAAGGCAGATGTTGACGATGGATGAATCATGATTTGTTGTATTTCCAATATTGTCACAGACAGCAACATTTGTTTTCCAATCAAGATGTCTTGAGCATGTTGAGCGAACTAGGAAATACACAAGGTGCCTTGGGCTCTTTAGGTCTAAGGTTTTTTCTTCTTTGTAAATCAAATGTGACCTGGTAGCCATATTGAAATTCCAATTTTGAACCTTCAACCTCGTTATTTTAACAAACATTCACACCAGACTTCCACTGAATCCATCAAGCCATGTCAGAGAAATTAACAAGAGTCATCAGAAAGATGACATATCCCCCCGGCAGCTGTCTGTAAAGTAACCACTAGTAAATGTGCAATTCTGGATGTAATGAGTCAACAGTTGAATGTTCTTTAAGAAGTTACATTGTTTACCCACTGAATGGTTTTCGAATTCTGGCCCGGAAATGAACCCGTTCCCCAATGGAGTCTAGGTCCAACTTCTTTCCATAAAAATTGTAAAAAATAAAAATTCGTAAAAAAATAAATATCAAAAGGCACCACTTCAGTATGTGCCTGATAGATTTGCCAAGTTTCGATCAAATACACTGAATGGTTTTCGAATTCTGCCCCAGAAACGAACCCCATCTCCAATTGAGTCTATGTCGAACTTCATTCCATAAAAATTTTAAAAAAATAAAAATGAGAAAAATCCTAAAATATCAAAAGGCACCACTTCAGTATGTGCCTGATAGATTTGCCAAGTTTCGATCAAATACACTGAATGGTTTTTTAATTCTGCCCCGGAAACGAACCCCATCTCCAATTGAGTTTATGTCGAACTTCATTCCATAAAAATTTAAAAAAATAAAAATTTAAAAAATCCAAAATATCAAAAGGCACCACTTCAGTATGTGCCTGATAGATTTGCCAAGTTTCGATCAAATACACTGAATGGTTTTCGAATTCTGCCCCGGAAACGAACCCCATCTCCAATTGAGTATATGTCGAACTTCATTCCATAAAAATTTAAAAAAATAAAAATTAGAAAAATCCCAAAATATCAAAAGGCACCACTTCAGTATGTGCCTGATAGAGTTGCCAAGTTTCGATCAAATACACTGAATGGTTTTCGAATTCTGCCCCGGAAACGAACCCCATCCCCAATTGAGTCTATGTCCAACTTCATTCCATAAAAATTTTAAAAAGTAAAAATTAGAAAAATCCCAAAATATCAAAAGGCCCCACTTCAGTATGTGCCTGATAGATGTGCCAAGTTTCGATCAAATACACTGAATGGTTTTCGAATTCTGCCCCGGAAAAGGAAATGATAACGGACGGACGGACGGACGGACGGACAGACAGACTGGCTGATCGCTATATCCCCCCGCATTATATGCCGGCGGGATAAAAATGTAAAAAGCTTTTGCCTGTAGCAGATGGATGAAGGATGACATAAGCGTAAGGCCATGTGTATTTATAAGCAAACTGAATTTCAGCTTTATCTTAATGGATGGTATGATAACAGCAACCTACTTGCTCTGGTGCATTGAAAGAGGCAAGTTTGGACTTGGTTTTATCGGACACTGCAGGCTTGAAGCTGTGCCGTCTCTCCGCTGACAACATGGAGCCTGCAAACCTGTCAGCTATACTGGGCTGACTGGAGGACTTGGGTTTAGGAGTGGAGCTGGGCCGCTTCCTCTTTCTATCCTGAAACAGCATCACATCAACTGTGTCCATCACATTCACCTGGCCATCAACAGGTGGTATGAAATACAAAAACAAGGATGAATATTTGGTCATGAAGGTTATAATGCAAAAAGGTAAAGAAAAACACTAATGGCCATGCCTCCATTTTCAACATGATTGGCTTGGAAGTCACCAAGTCACAGAGTTTGAATGTAGAGGCTATCGAGATGATGTCATGAACACATTACACCTGGACAAATTGGCATATGTGAAGGTCAAACAGGAGTAAAAGGACATGGTAGGGTCAACATTGTAATCTCACACTATGCATTTCTTCTTATTCTTCGATCTTGGTGTGGAAACGTCCTAGAACAAAGTTTCCAGCTTCAAAAACACCACTCACCCAAACACATCCCTTACATCACCAATCACCACTGTGATCATGGTTCACGCACCACTAAAATCCCAAGCGACACGACCCCAGCGACCTGATCACCTGACATATCCAGCACCCTCATTCTCAATCTAGAGCGTACAGGCTGGTGTAACTGTGATGCGGGGATGGTTGGGTGGGCATTTAGCGTGTGAGATAGGATAAGTATATAAATAGACAATTTATTAGAAAATTTACATATTTTTAAACTTATCCTATCTCACATTATGCATTTATCCCACGGTTGAATGGTGGGGCGCAGATACCCTAGCCTGTAAGGACCTTAGCCGTGAGAAGTACATGAGGAAGCTGGAACTAATCAGGAAAATTCAAAGGATTTTACAAGGATTAGTGATAAACTTGTGTAAGGGTTGCTTAAAAAATTAAACCCTCTTTGTGCTACCAAGAGATATACATCATGACATCGGAGAATCATGTGTTCCATGGTTTCACACAGGACGCCGTTCCAAGAACGACCGCGTAACTATGAGCCAGGCAACACCTACTCGGTCACGACTTAAACCTCACCCGGATAGGAGAAGGTGTTTCGTTTCAAACACCCCTTCCCCGGCGTAGGTTCTACAAGACAGACCTCACACATAGGGTCCCAAGGACGTAAGGCGGACCAGCTTGGCATCTCTTTTTTCGCATCGTCAACCTATCAAACTCACGTAGAGATTGAATAAGGTAAGAACGAGAAGAGGAAACGATTGACGATTCCCGTTTATCACACAGGTCTTCAATCAACTACTGAGACATCACATGCGCAAAGACAGAGGTGAGCAGGTAGAAGATCGGGACACCATTTAAACAAACGGCCGCACTGGATGGTGACTTCTATTGACGTAGACCAAAGTCCCAACAGACAAGCTTATATACCCTCCCTTTGGGAGCTTGTCTGGGAAACCTTATTAACATAAGCAATTAATATTGCAGTATATAAAGGAAACCAGACTTGGGACTTGTAGTCCAAAATTCCTCATCTGCGCTGTGTGGCTGCTGTAACCTTGGACGTCGGCGACTGAGATTCCGAAAGGAGTAGGAGGCAAAGCCAGAACATCCCTCCATGATGGCTGAAAGTGTGCAATACTATGCAACGCCAAGTCGGAAGTCACTGCCCTCGTCTCATGAGGATTGGAAGCAGCTCGGGTGGTAGTCCCTCAAAGGTGTAGACCCTGAGGATGATAGAACGCAGCCAGTGGAGATGGTGGTTCAAGATACATCAGAAGTTGCAGTCGTCGACAAGTGGATGAAAACATGCGTGCGACAGTGACGGATGGTCTGAGATGCCTTCAAGTAGATCTTGTAGGCTCAGGCTGGACAAAGCGAGACGTCTTCCATGACATCAGTTCCCAATCAATGAGAGTGGTGGAGGCTGAAAAGACGATCCAGTTGTCCTTGAATACGTATCTTATTGAAGACGCTGGAACCGGACTCAACCGACGTCTAAGCACGAGTCCCTCTAACACGAGCTGCAGGAGCCAGCAAGCAGCAAGCAGGAAGATTGTCATGAACATGAAGTTCGAGGTTTATCCACAAGTGGTTTATAGTCAGCCAGGAGAAGTGACGGAGGAATACAGGGAGATCCCATGCTGGAGGACCAAGTCTGGAAGATTGGTCCATAAGGTTGTATGAGTGAATCAATGTCCGAAGGTCAGCGACTGCAGAAACCTTGGATCCTGAAGTCATGGTAACGTCTGAATTACTCGCAGTCTGAAAGATCTGTGTAGATCCATCGGTTCGGGAGCTATAGCAAGTTTTATCCCATTAGTGAGTAGTTGGTGCAGAACTGATCGCTGTCAAGTAAGTGCCCAGTGTCGAATCATAAGGTGCCTTGTACTTCTTAAGGGACATAGGTAATCTGCTACTTGTGGTATAGTAGCGTGGCTGCAGAAAACCCTGGATCTTCCAAACTGGTGAAAACTTTTCCATTTATCGTCACAGAGATTCTCATTGATTGACGAAGTGCTAAGGAGGCTTGCCTTAGCTGCTCTAATGGAAAATCCTCAGCGAGGCTGCTCTTGATATAATTCATACCTGAAGTTCGTATAATTCTGGTCTGGATGGACCTGATTGGAGGGAGGATGTAGCAATAGATGTGACCAGTTTGGAAGTCTTAGTAGTGGAATCTCTGGCAGTTCGACGATCTCTGGAACCCAAATTCTTGTCGGTCAGAAGGTGCTACCAACAGCAGTTGTTGGTAGCTCGTGTGTAGGATCTTTGTAGTATCCGTGGTATCAAGGCTGGTGGGAGGAAACGTGTACGCGTTTAGGTCCTCCCATGATATTGTCAGAGCATCGATTGACCAGGTTAGTGGGCCTGGAGCTGGTGGCACAATGTTATCTGATGCAAATAGGGTTACTAGTAGACAACCTTTTCATTTATTGCCAGTGGGAATGCTTCGGCTGTAGCTTCCATTCTGTTGGTGATAGTCTGGCTGGTCTGGACAAGGTGTCTGCTAATCCACTTGCCGCTCCCGGTATATGTCTTGTCTTTATCTGTAAGTTGAGCTTGTCTACCAAAGGTGAAAAGTCAACTGCAGGAGGGTCTCTGATTTCATAGTGTCTTGAAGGTGTATAGTGTATGCCACAGTTGAAATGAGTGTCCCGATCATCAGCGATTGGTTTCTTGTCTGTGGGGTCCAAAGAATAATGCCCGGATTACAGCCTCGTATTCCAGATAATTGATGTGGTAGAGCTGACTGCTTCTGACCATAGGTCTGATATTACTTCCAAGTTGAAGTGAGCTCCCCGACCTTGAAGTGAGGCATCCATGAACATGAGGATATTCCGGCTTGTGTAAACAAGTTCCTGCACAAACAATCGAATCCACTCTCCTTCACAAGAGGCGTTGACTCACTGTGTTCTGGTACTAGGATGTTAGTCTGGCTCATTAGACTTGATCCCAAGGAATGGAGATCCTGGAATGGTTGTAAGTCGGATTTCTGATTATTTATTAACCAACATAGTTGAGTTAATAATTTCCGGGTAAAAAATGTAGTCTGAGATATTGTTAATATCCGGGCTTGAATCCCTTCGTTCAGGTAAAAATGTATTACGGTATCCTGCGTGACGAACAGAAATTGGTTTAGTCACTCGTGTACATAGTCATGGGTCAAAGCAATTCCAAAGGGTGGTGTACCGCCAGTGACAAGAAGGGTGGTTCTTCTTCCAGTTGAGTTAGTCCAAGCTGTCGTCTGATGACTGGTGACCCGTGCAGATCCGGGTAGAATAGGTCTTCAGCAACCCATGCGTGCTGCAAAAGGCGGCTATGCCTGTCGTAAAGGGTGACCAATGGGATCGAGTGCTCACGACGTCACCCACTAGACTGCCCGGTCCAGACTCGATTATTTCCAGACTGCCGTCATATAGCTGGAATATTCCTGAGTGCGGCGTAAAACAAAAAAACAACCAACCAACTGTTGACAGGTGACGGTCGCCCGAAGTGTAATAGCTATTACCATACGTAGAACGTAGAGTTGTTGATGTTGAGATGAGTTCCCCTGCAGATCGCTGTTCAAGCACACATAACACAAAATTTGTGTTCTAAAGCGATGGTAAAGTCTTGACGGCCGTGTGTGTGATCTAGAATCCAGTAGAAAAACGAGACTGAAGATGTAGTTTACCGGTTGGTTGATTGTACGAAGCAGGGTAATCGGGACCACGTGGAAGAGCGGTTGTAGCAGAAACCGTGCCTTGAATGGAGGTGGAGAACATTAGGATGATATACTGAAATAAAATGTCGATATTCACCAACTCTCGTCTTGAATAAGTGAGGGATGCCAGGTTGCGAGGTTGATCGGTGACGTGTAGAACTAGCGAAGATACGATTGATTCCATCGTCTAAGCACCGGAAAAAGCGCTGTGCATTCCGGTATCGATGCGACGACAAAAGGCGTTGTGAAGATGTGACAGACCGTACGTATAGTCGTTAACTACTACTGTAAATGCTCCGCACGGCTCGCATGAGATCAGCCTGTACCAAAGTCAGCATGGTAGTCTTGTTTACAAACAGCAATCTCGGCGTGATGTGTAATTCACCCTTGCGCAGAAACAGGAAATACAGCAGTCTTTCCGATCACGTTGTCAAAGCTCCCAACACACGAGCGGTGTCACGAGTAACGAAAAACACCCGTGTATAGGTAGTCCGTTCCTTGTAGAATATGGGACGAACCGGTGTAGTATCTAGGTGAGCCTCTTATGACGCTTGAAACCATCTTCAAACATCGAACATCTGCAATTTGTATCGATGAAAGACCGACGAACTCCCCCGTCGAATCGACTGTTAGAATGGTGTAGGCTGACCATGGATTAGGCGTGCAAACTAATATGGAATATCAGGCTGAATTCGAGGGTGTCAATGATAAAGGTCGGCTGCGGTGATATCGAGCTTCAGGATGATGTTGTCTGTCTGAAAATTCCAATCTGAATAGGGGGAGCGCGTTGTCTCGAGCGGCATGATCTGTAATGGAATATCAGGCTTAAAGCGACGGTGTCAATGATAAAGGTCGGCTGCGATGATATCGAGCTTCACGATTATGTCGTCTGTCTGACGATTCAAATCTGAATAGGTGGAGCGCGTTGTCTCGAGAGTCACAACCTGTAATGGAATATCAGGCTGAAACGAGGGCGTTGATGAAAATGATGTTGATTGAGTGACGATTCAATTCCGTCATAACCTTGTAATTGTGATTTCTCATAGGAGAGGATCGTAAGACGATCCATGGCTGGTAGGCACGTGGTCCGGATCCATGAAGATCCCATAGAGAAGAGAGATCAGTATATCAAGCTCGCCATACAAGGTGACTATGCCTGTAAGAGATCAACGAGACCGGTTGGTCAAGTTCGCTGATATGGTTGGTGCAGGTCATCATATCCCAAGACATAGACGGATGCTCGTGATGACAATCACTGGATTGTCTGATCTAGACAACGGAATGCAGTGAATGCCATGTCCAAATTCCTGTATAGAAGTCTGATGCACGCTGAGAGAGAGGTCTATTGATTCCGTGGAAGAAAGAGGATCTATGACTGAGGACGATCCGTTGTTCGTCTGTATATATAACAAGTTATATCTGGGATAACATCTTCTCAGTAAAGTACATGCTCGTATTTTATGGGGTCGAGTCCCGTCAGGGATTCGAACCCTCACTGCCAGAGTAAGGGACCTAATTGCCAGCACACAAAGTCAGCGATCTAACCCACTCAGCCAGCGAGGCTTCCTGCAGGTAAAGTCGTACGAGTGGACGGGTTCTTGATCGGACAATGTGTCGATGTATTGATTTATCCATGTGTTGACGTATCGATGTATATATCGATTTATCCATGAGTCGACGTATCCATGTGTCGACGTGTCGATTTATCCATGTGTCGACGTATTGATGTGTCGATATGTCGATTTATCCATGTGTCGACGTAGCGATGTGTAGGAGAGGCGAAACTGTCGATCCTCCGAGGTAAGATTTGACTGTCCATCCAACATCAGCGTCTTGTCGATGATGGTGAAGTATGTCGATCTGTCGATCCCTCGGTCGTCTATGATCCCTTGATCACTCGGTCGTTACGATCCAGCGAAGGATGACGATCCTGTGAGTGAAGATCCGTCGTCAGTTGGCTATCACTTCCTCGCCGACGATTGTAGTATTTTCGGTAGAAGGGTTGTCGCCATTAGAAAGCCGGAGAGGTGTAGCTGTATCCTCAGAGCTCTGTAGAAGTGATGACCCGAGTAACAAGCATGTTGGGGGAAGAGGCAACCCTCAGTTGACGGCTTGACTTCCCAAGCTGAGTAAAGGGCCATAGTCCAACACGATGAACTGGCCATTTAAATGCGGGACGACTGTAGAAGCCAGGGAGCGGGCACGTGCACAGGGGCATGGTCCCAACAGAGGCAGAAATCGTAGCAGTCAAACGAGACGGAAAGCGATCCTCCTCTACGGATAGCGATTTAACCATCGCCAAATTGTCTATAATATGTTGTTAAGCAAGAAAATGAAGGTACAGCCACAGGGGATAACAATCGTTTGGGTTTCAAAGCGGAGGAAAAACAACATGCATGAAAACTGTAAACAACGCCTTGAACCGACGAACAGTCGCCTTTGTCGAACACTAAACTAATTAAGTTGAGATCCAATTCTGGCAAGGTGGTACACAATAGACATCGTTATTAATACCACTCTCTCTTAGTGGTAATGGTAAACTTTAGTAGTGATGTCGTGTATTTAAATTTTATATATAAAAAAAACGAAAAAACAATAAACAAAACAAAACAAACAAGTATTTGTCACAGAGTGACGAAATATCCCCCGCCTGTATATACACCATAGTACCAAATATGAAGACAATCCAGCGATTAGTTCTTGAGATATTGTGGCAACACCGTTTTCCAACTCCAAAAACAGATTTGCCTGCTGTGACCTTGAAAATGGGGTCAAGGTCACCAAATCTGACAGGTGTATGCGGTGTCTGTATATACACCATAGTTCAAAATATGAAGACAATGCAGCAATTAGTTCTTGAGATATTGTGGCAACACCGTTTTCTAACTCCAAAAGCAGATTTGCCTGCTGTGACCTTGAAAATGGGGTCAAGGTCACTCAAACCGACTGGTGTCTGCGGAGTCTGTATATACACCAAAGTTCCAAATATGAAGACAATCCAGTGTTTAGTTCTTGAGATATCGCGGCAACACCGTTTTCGAACTCCAAAAGCAGATTTGCCTGCTGTGACCTTGAAAATGGGGTCAAGGTCACCAAAACCGACTGGTGTCTGCGTTGTCTGTATATACACCATAGTTCCAAATATGAAGACAATCCAGTGTTTAGTTCTTGGGATATCGCGGCAACACCGTTTTCCAACTCTAAAAGCAGATTTGTCTGCTGTGACCTTGAAAATGGGATCAAGGTCACCAAAACCGACTGGTGTCTGCGGAGTCTGTATATACACCATAGTTCCAAATATGAAGACAATCCAGTGTTTAGTTCTTGAGATATCGCGGCAACACCGTTTTCCAACTCCAAAAGCAGATATGCCTGCTGTGACCTTGAAAATGGGGTCAAGGTCACCAAAACCGACTGGTGTCTGCGGAGTCTGTATATACACCATAGTTCCAAATATGAAGACAATCCAGTGTTTAGTTCTTGAGATATCGCGGCAACAAACAGGTGGGACGTACGGACGGACGTACGTACGGACGGTCGTGAATACTATATCCCCCGCTTCGCGCTTTCGCGCGGCGGGGGATAACAAACAAAAATTCTCTGTTCAAGAATAACGTCCGAACACCATAGCCATAGCATTGAGAATGAGGGTGCTGGATATGTCAGGTGATCAGGTCGCTGGGGTCGTGTCGCTTGGGATTTTAGAGGTGCGTGAACCATGATCACAGTGGTGATTGGTGATGTAAGGGATGTGTTTGGGTGAGTGGTGTTTTTGAAGCTGGAAACTTTGTTCTAGGACGTTTCCACACCAAGATCGAAGAATAAGAAGAAATGCATAGTGTGAGATAGGTTTTTAAAATTATCAAAATATGTCACACAACCCCAACCCCAAACTATTAAATGTTATCTAACATAACACATCTAATTTACGATACATGCAGAAATGGCAGTGCAATGGGGAAATAACGACGAATTCAAAAAGACTGCACTGGCTACTTTTCAACTAGAACTCTGTGAGCATATTCCAAAGAAGCCATTGTCTGGATTCTCCATGCCTTGGATTCTCAAAGGCCTTGTAGTTTTGGAGTAAATGGACAGACAACTGTTTCCGTTGTTACTGTAAATTAACATCGACCTGACTGGGCAGATCATGATAAATGTCTCACCTTGACTGGAGACTCAGCATCAGATTCTGTTTCTGGCCCGGACACATTGTCCTCATCTTCACCACTACTGCCGCTGTCATCTTCATCACTGCTGCCGGAGTCCGGTTTAAACTCATCCCCTAAACATGTTGGACACAGCTTAAGAAACTTCAATTATGTGCAGTACAATGATTTCAAAGTAGTCGAAAATGGGTCAGTCATCTAGCAAGTAACACAGACATTCCAAAGCTAGTTATCTAGCCAGTAAGACAGACATTCCAGGTCTAGTCATCTAGCCATTAACACAGTCAGACATTCCAGGGCTAGTCATCTAGCCATTAACAGTCAGATATTCCAGCACTAGTCATCTAGCCATAAACACAGTCAGATATTCCAGGTCTAGTCATTAACACAGTCAGACATTCCTGGTCATCTAGCCGGTAACAGTCAGACATTCCTTGTCTAGTCATCTTGCAGACAAAACAGTCAGACATTCCTGGTCTAGTCATCTAGCAGACAAAACAGTCAGACATTCCTGGTCATCTAGCAGACAAAACAGTCAAGACATTCCTGGTCTGGTCATCTAGCCATTAACACAGTCAGACATTCCTGGTCTGGTCATCTAGCAGACAAAACAGTCAGAAATTCCTGGTCTGGTCATCTAGCTCATAAGACAGTCAGACACTCTGGTCTATTCATCTGGCAGGCAACACAGTCAGACATTCCAGGTCTGGTCATCTAGCAGTAACAGTCAGACATTCCAGGTCAAGTAATCTAGACGGTAACAGTCAGACATTCCAAGGCTAGTCATGTAGCAAGTAATATAAGCCATTAACACAGTCGGATATTCCAGGTCTAGTCATTAACACAGTCAGACATTCCTGGTCATCTAGCCGGTAACAGTCAGACATTCCTGGTCTAGTCATCTAGCAGACAAAACAGTCAAGACATTCTTGGTCTGGTCATCTAGCCATTAACACAGTCAGACATTCCTGGTCTGGTCATCTAGCAGGTAACACAGTCAGACATTCCAGGTCTGGTCATCTAGCAGTAACAGTCAGACATTCCAGGTCCAGTAATCTAGACGGTAACAGTCAGACATTCCAAGGCTAGTCATGTAGCAAGTAATATAAGCATTAAAGGACTAGTCATGACCTAGGAGGTAACACAGTGAGTTTGTGAATGGTGTTTTCAATGTTTACATTGAAGTCAGCATTATTTGTAAGTTTATCATCTATGTTAAAATCTTGTTTATGCAGAGACAGTACGCACATGCCCATCTATTTATAGCATATATATACATCACGTCCGGTGACCCACACTGCGATGTGCGACTGTAATCCTTTGTCTCTGCCATGCTTGCACTTTTGCTTCATACTTTGTCAGCGCACGTTATATATTAAATTTTTACTAATCGGAACCTTAACATGGCCAATACGATGTCATCATCTCAACTACCTGCCCGTTGTTTCGCGGAGCTATGAAAAACTGACACTTGGGGATTGGACGAACTTTGAACTTTGACTGGAAACATGAATCGACGGGGAACACGCTCGAGGTCACGATCTACAAGACGGGGGTCAAGTGCGCCAACTGATCTACCAAATGACGACTTGCACCAACCTCCACCGTCTATTGCAGCTGCAGAACAATCTTCTCCAGTCCGATCTACATCGAGACGGTGCCAAACAGTGTATACTGACATTCCCTCCAATTTTACTACGGCGCAACTGAAGTCAAAATTACGAAATCTTGGTATCCAGACACCAAACATGACCAGGAAAGACCTAGTACGCTTGTTGGAGGCCAATGAAAATCGTAGGATACCATCTTCGACAGTCACGAGTGACGAATGTCAAACTTCAGATGGGATTACTTTTCCTACGCCAGAGAGACCAATTGGACCCTTTTCCAATATGGCGGCGCCCACGATCACTTCCGCCGAACGATCGTCACGTCCATCGCCCCAGTCTCAAGTGCCTTGTACTTCACCGGAGAATGCAACATCGCCTTATTGACATTGCCTGTACATGAGTTGTCAAACGTTTGCACCATAATGGATGGACAAGGGAACGAAATTCGATTTAAAGGGGCATTAGATCAACGTTTAACTCAACCCATGACCATTGGAGACTTTGTTTCATCGTTCACAAAATACATTGCCATTGTGTGCGAAGTGGCTGATCGCAGAGAAGAACTACACAAATATATGGCTGACATAGTCGACATTGCCAATCAACACGAGGGTTCTTTGTTCTATGACTACCATCAAGCCTTCTTTCAAAGAGCAGCAACCCTCCTCGAAACTTACAACACACCAGTCTATTGGCGCATCAAGGACAAAAGCCTTCTCGACTCTGTAGCAGCCAACAGGAAAGCGAGACAGTGCAGTGTGTGTGGCAGCCTGTCTCACAACACAGATTTTTGTCCCAGACGGGGTAGGACAACGTTTCCAAAGAATGCTCATCCATCCACAGACTAGCGCGGTAGACAGAGCGTCCAGTTCAAAGGGAAAGAAATCTGTAATAAAGGGATGCAATCGCTTTGCATGCTATTTTCTTCATTTGTGCCTCCATTGCCATGCCACACACCCAGTCTTCAGATGTCGGAAAAGAGTTTCTGTATCTCAGAGTGAGGGCAGTCAAGAGAAGTCCGATAAACAGGCATGACCTTCTAACCTCCGGCTGCCACAGTTTCAGAGTGTAACTCGTTCTCCTATCAATGTTCAACAGCTCCAAAAGGAACTACATAATCATCCAGATACATTATTTGTCAAAACACTCATTCAGGGATTTACTCATGGCTTCGATACAGGCATCTCTAGTCCACCTACTTCCTCTTGGGAGTTTAGGAATAATCTCTCGGCCAGGCAGCAAGTCGATGTGGTGACAAATTTACTTGAGGACGAAGTAGCCAAGGGTTACGTCATTGGACCTTACTGCAAACCACCCTTTCCTGTGTACAGGATTAATCCACTGGGGTTAGCACAGGGGAAATACTCCAAAAAATACAGACTGATCGTTGATATGTCCGCACCTCACAATTGTGAAGTACCCAGCCTCAATGACCTTATCAAGAAGGAAGATTATTCCATGGCCTATGTTCGTGTAGATGACGCTATCGGCCATATTCAGAGGAACACAATTATGCAAATTTGACATACGGGATGCCTTCAAACAAGTCCCCATCAGTCCTGCTCTCTGGCATCTTCATGGCGTAAAGTGGCAGGATGAATATTACTTTTGTACCAGGATGGTATTTGGCTCACGCTCTAGCCCCAAACTCTTCGACTACTTGTCTCAAGCTGTGTGTTGGATTGCTACCGAGAATTATAAAGTCTCATGTGTGCTTCACCTTTTAGATGATTTCCTGTGCATTGACAGACCGCATTACACGGCAGAGCGGACAATGGCTATCATGTCCATGATATTTAAACGCCTGGGTATACCGTTATCACAACACAAAACAGTGGGACCCAGCACTTGTTTGGAATACCTAGGCATTGAACTGGACACTGTGAATATGCAAGCACGTCTGCCAGTGGAAAAAATACATCGCATTCAAGAAGTGATCAATTCTTGCCGCAACAAGGCGGCTATCACAAAACGCCAACTCTTATCTTTGTTAGGCCACCTCAACTTTGCTGCTCGAGTGATACCTCCGGGCCGCGCCTTTGTATCATTTCTCATATCCATGTCTACTACAGTGAACAATCTCTTCGACTTGGTGACCTTGGACAAGCACACTCTCATGGAATTAGCCATGTGGGATCTATTTTTATCTACTTGGAATGGCATATCCATGTTCAGAGATACTATTCTAACTCTGGATTACGACTTCCACCTGTACACAGACGCAGCTTATACTTTCGGCTTCGGGGGTATTTGGGGCTACAAATGGTTCTCAGGACACTGGCCGACAGAGTTATCATCCTAGACTACGACGTCTTTATCCCTCTTAGAACTGTATCCTATAGTGGTAGCGGTGTTCTTGTGGGGACAGTATTGGGGCAGGAAACAAATTTGTTTTCACTGTGACAATTTGGGTACTGTACATATATTGAAGAAAGGTCGCTCTCCTAACTTAGAAATCATGAAGTTGATGAGAACTGTCACTTTGCTTGAAATGAGATATGGCTTTAGTTTAACGGCACGTCACCTACCTGGCAAGCACAATGAGTCAGCTGACGCCCTATCACGTTTTCGTTTCCAGAAGTTCCGAGAGCTGGTCCCTTTGGCAGAGCAACACCCATTTCCATGCCCCTCCTATCAGCAGCTCATTGTGACCTGAGTCAAGATGCCCAAAGGTTGATGGACGCAGGGGTGGCCCCATCTACACTCCAAGCTTACTCTACTGGCCTATCACGTTTTAAGCTCTTCCTACTCTTGAACGGCTTTGAAGCGACCAAGACCAACCTGCCCCCACTTACTGAAAACAGGATTCTACTGTTTATCACACACTGCCATTCCAAGTTACAGCTGCAATACAGTACCATCAAACTGTACTTGGCAGGAGTTAAGTTCTTTTATGTGCGTGCAGGGCGTTATCAAGAAGTGTCTCAAGCAATTCAACCAGACAGAGTACAACTGCTGCTACGAGGTATCAAGAAATCCCAAGGGAAGCCTAAACTCACTCGCTTACCTATTACCACCGGCCTGCTGAAACAAATATGCTGTGTTTTACGTAAAGGCTGCTTTACACCATTCGTCGACTGCATGATGGAAGCAGCATGCACCTTGGCCTTTTTTGCTTTCCTTCGGTGTAGTGAGTTTACAGTGCGAGGATCTTTTGATCCAGCTATCAATTTGTGCCTTAGTGATGTGCATGTGAATGCTCAGTGTACAAGAGCGGACGTCAAGATTAAAGCCTCCAAAACAGACCCATTCAAGGAAGGTGTGGTGTTGCAATTATATGCAAATAAATGTGTGTGTCCAGTGAGAGCTCTAGTGAAATACCTCGACATGAGGAGTAAGTGTTTCCAAGCTTCTTCTCAAGCTTTCTTCTTGGATGAGCAACTTATGCCTCTTACCAGAGATTCCTTTCAAGGGAAATTAAAACATGTAATTAATCTATGTGGAGTCCCTAGTGCCAACTACAACACTCACTCGTTTCGCATTGGGGCCACCACTATGGCAAGCAAAGCTCAAGTTGAGGACCATATGATACAGACTCTCGGATGTTGGTCGTCACAGGCCTACTTACGTTACACTCATGTGGCTCAAGAGAGCATCAAGAATGCGCAAGTCACTATGAGTAACTGTTGACCATATCATCTTACACCTATCTACAATCATCAGGACAGCTGTTTTTCTTTACAGCCTTTTCACCTTCCATGTCTTTTTACCATGTATATCTTTTAACTTCTTTTCTTTTTTTTTCTTTTTTCATCTACTTTGGGCTTACTTGTTTTTCTACAACTAAGTTTTGGGGATACTCCATATTTTAAACCCCAAGTAGCTTATCTATTCATTTTTATACCTCATCTTGACTGAGGGCCCATTCTCTACTTCACACCCATCTGCAATCCGTCCGGGGCGTACAGGGAACGACACCCAGTAAGTTGTACGTCTCTGTATTTCCACCATCGTCGCGCCACATCAGGGAACGACACCCAGTAGTGGATGTGGCACTGTAATTCCAGCATTAACTTACCATATCCATTACAAAGTATTACTGGGCCCCAGTCCATGTTTTCTCTACAATCATTCTTGCCTATGTTTTACATGCTTTTACAATTGTAGGGGGGACAGATGCCATACTTATATTTGTTAGCTTAGCTAGGCATCTGTCCCCCAGTTTTTTGTGCCAAACATAATAAATCATTAAATTCATAGTTTCTTTTGTTGTCTCTGCATAAAATGATTACCAGTTACACCAGCTCCTGAAAGCGCAATCAACCATCTCCCTTGTCGGGGCAATCAATGATCTCCCCTGAAGGGGTGATACACATTCAGACAGGTCACACACCACAATCAACAGATTCCCATGTTAGTGACCTTTTACAAGAAATGGGTACTGAAGACACCATTCCTTGTAGGTTACAGCCTTCCAATATGTCCTGCCAGCAGCTCGGAGACATACCTGACTCCTCATCTCCACTGGTGGACAACATAATACGCCTCCTCTTGTGCTTCTGACTGGACCGGGAAGGACGGCACTTCTTACTGGGTGTTTTTCTTGGACTAATCTACAACAAAACACAATGTGTATCGGACTGCTTACTAAGCAGTAAGCAATGTGTCAAGACAGTGTTGCAGTATCTCCACATCAACTCATGGCCTTCCTACTGAATCAGCAGAATAGAAACACAGCATATCATCTTGTTCCATGCAACTGACAAATCTTTAACAATTTTAGAAAGAGGGGCCCCAACTGACAGATCTTAGTTCTCGCTATCGCTAAACAAAGATCTGAAGACATCCAATTACGGGTCACGTCACGAAATGAACAGTTGGAATGTGTTTTCTAATCATGCAACCTCAAAAACGTTAACACGGGGTATTCTGAACGACAATTACGGCAAGTACGACTCATTCCGTCAAAATTATCGTCTATCTCTCGTTTCCATGGGATAAACATTTGAATGGAAGAGGCGTTGCGCAGTACGTGGGAAGCGCTGCCATACAATCTCAACCATATATTAGACATTCCGGAATGTTAGTTTGTTCAGTTTTCAAAATTTTAATCGAAAACTGTGTCAACATATTATTCATGATTCAAGCGTAGTCTGAAATGGTAGTCGCCAGGTTGACACAAGTGCAGTAAAGCTCGAGAAAGCTGCTTCCTAATTGCTTTCTTGTTTGTCATTTCTGTAGTCAGTCAAAGTTCGCGAAAGGTCGTTCTGAGGTGACCCGTAATGGAACGTCCTCAGATTTTTTTGTTTTGCGGCAGGAAGAACTTAGATCTGATTTTAATGAGATTGTTGTTATGTCAAACTAGTGTGTTAGTAGCATTCAGTTATTTCCATATCATCTCACTTATTTTGTATTGCAACATATCAATGTATTATGGGACATAAGTGTCTGCTGGCCATGCTGAAAGGCAGTCATGTATCGGATATGCATATTCTAATTGCTGGATATTGACTGGTAAAATAAAACTTGACAAGGAATTTCAGGTGCTGTCAGTCCCTTGAACGGGCATAAACATAGATGAAAAGAGTTATTGAGTATGATTTGGGTTTCCACCATGGGTACATAATATATACTACTCAGCAGTTGATAAACACCCAGTTTGTTCCTATGACTATTAGGTATTACAACACAGCCTTCTCCTTGTGGGCGTTCTTTAACCTGTTGCAGTAATATATATCATAAAGAGAAACACTTAAGTAGTTGGTTGCTGTTTCAATAAGTCTTTATAGCAGAGCAATTCCAAGGCAGTCAAAACAGGCAACTGTTTGTCGACTACTGCTACTGACGAACAGACTGCTACTACCAACTAATCGACTTCTTCTACCAACTAATCGTCAACTGCTACTGACGAATAGACTGCTACTACCAACTAATCGACTTCTTCTACCAACTAATCGTCAACTGCTACTGACGAATAGACTGCTACTACCAAATAATCAGCTTCTTCTACCAACTAATCGTCAACTGCTACAAATGAATGGACTGCTGTAACCAACTAATCCTCAACTGCCACTGACAAATAGACTGCTACTACTAACTAATCAACTTCTTCTACCAACTAATCGTCAACTGCTACTGACCAATAGACTGCTGTTACCAACTAATCGACTACTTCTACCAACTAATCGTCAACTGCTACTGGCGAATAGACTGCTGTTACCAACTAATCGACTACTTGTACCAACTAATCGTCAACTGCTTCTGGCGAATAGACTGCTGTTACCAACTAATCGACTACTTCTACCAACTAATCCTCAACTGCTCCTGGCAAATAGACTGCTGTTACCATCTTATCGACTATTTCTACCAACTAATCGTCAACTGCTACTGGCAAATAGACTGCTGTTACCAACTAATCGACTACTTCTACCAACTAATCCTCAACTGCTACTGGCGAATAGACTGCTGTTACCAACTAATCGACTACTTCTACCAACTAATCCTCAACTGCTACTGGCGAATAGTCTGCTGTTACAGTCAACTTCTGCTACCGACTAGTCGACTACAAAAAGTTGACAGTTGCTTAGCCTATTATGTCATGTTATGACCTGGTATATACTGAGTGAGCAAGCTGGGTTCACAGTTTGTAACAGTATTCAAGTTGAATCCTGGTGTCTCAGCTTCATGTGAGAGTTGCAGGTCTAAAGAGTTTGCCCACTGTCCATTGCCTATTACCTATCTAGTATAGCTTATGTACTGGCTTCTACACTATACTATCAGCGCTAATTACTGTAAAGTGATGGGCTCTATTGTCTATTGCTAATTACCTATCAGAGCCAATCATCTGTTGGCTTCCCTTGTTAGTTTCCACCTTTTGTTATCTTATTAATTTTGTTGACCTTACATGTACATATATATGCTCTGCCTCATGGCATTCATTCACCTGATGAAGGGGTAAGCATATACTCCGAAACATTGTGTTCCTCATAATAAAGTTGACATCCATAAATTCTCTTCCTTAGGTCTAAATACGTTTACAACTTTGGTGAAACCCACCAGTACGGGAAATATAATCAGGGCAAATCAGGATTCAAACCCACTATCAGAAGTTTCTGGGGTGCAACACCTCTGCACAGTGAATTGTGGTGCATTAGACAACTAGGACACCTCTGCCCCTAGATATATATTCAGGGATGAGAATGGATATTTTCCTTTTCAGCTGAAACATCTTTGAAATGGAGCGTGGTCCAAAATGAGGGTGTGTTTATGGGGGAAGCCATCAGATTTTAACAAACTTGGGGTAACTAAAATTCATGGAATTTTGCGGATCCACGGAAGATTCTCATCCCTGTATATTGAATAACATGCTTTCAGGTACATGTCATTTTTAATATTGTTTTCCTGCTGTTTTTTTCAATATATAAACACTGTGAAAAGTTAAACATTGTTAATTCGGATTGTTATTTCCTAAAAGTATTACCGTATTCGACGTCATAAGCACCCCACTCTAATAAGCGGCTATGGCAATATTAGGAAATATATTGGTAAGTGAATGATCCGAATAAGCACCCCTTCCGATTGATCAATCTACACAAAACATATTTATTCGTGTAAAATATGCACTAGTGTGTTATAAACACCCTTAATTATGGGTAATTAAATTCTCAAAAAATAAATTTCTCGTGTATAACAGGCACAGACTTTTCATCATTTCAGGCTTGAAATTAATACGACCCTAGCCAAAAATGTGACTCAATATCAATATGACTCCCCCCACCCCATCCCCAGTGGAATAATAGATATCCTTACCTTAATCCAATCAAACAGCAAATAGCACTGCTCATTAGCACTGAGTAAAGCACTCACGTAATAACAATAAACAGTGATTTCCTAACAACACACAGTTTATGTTTATTCTGTTGACTGGCATTAAGGAAGTTCAAAGGCAATAAAATAACACTGATTGGAGTGGTCAGTGATGCCTTATTTGACATGAGTGGGTAGAACTCTTTGACCCCAGCAGTGATAACTTACCGTATGCCCATTGTGTAATTCCTATTCTTTAAATGACATTGTTACATACTTGTTACAAGTGCTGCTCAATAAACCGTGTTTGTGTTCATGTTCAAGTTGGTATATCCGCTATCCAAAGTGTGCACTCACATTTTTCGCATCTAATTCACGCTCGCATTAATTTCAAGTTTTACAGTATATGACTCATGATCCGTCATCAGAAATACAATATCAACAAACATGTATTGAATTACGCAAGTTAACCTTTTGTTAAGCTATTTAAGTGTACATAGTATATTTGGACTTATATTTGTAGTCTCCAATATTTATTTTATTCAAAATATCATTCAAAAACGTTTACATTATAATTTCTTAGAAATCATGACCCCACAATACTTACAACTTCCATTCACCCCATTTTCCACATTCAGCAACAGCGGCAACTCATATTTACCAATGTAATTATCAAATAGTTTCTTCTGTTTTAACATATCAACATAAACAACTGTGATGGTTAACTTTCATTGAGAAAATATCTTAAAACGTGAAGAAATATTTGTAAATTTTCTAATAAATTGTATATTTATATACTTATCCTATCTCACACTATGCATTTTCTCTAATTCTTCGATCTTGGTGTGGAAACGTCCTAGAACAAAGTTTCCAGCTTCAAAAACACCACTCACCCAAACACATCCCTTACATCACCAATCACCACTGTGATCATGGTTCACGCACCACTAAAATCCCAAGCGACACGACCCCAGCGACCTGATCACCTGACATATCCAGCACCCTCATTCTCAATCTAGAGCGTACAGGCTGGTGTAACTGTGATGCGGGGATGGTTGGGTGTGCCTTTAGCGTGTGAGATAGGATAAGTATATACAGTGATCCCTCGCTATTGGGCTCTTCGATAAAGCGCTACCTCGGTTACTACGTGTGGTATCGCATGGCTCCCAAAATTTATGTACACTTTTAATACTGAGAGTTTTACACAGCAGTGATTGTATTGTTGTTCGTTGTTCATTTGCACATAACGCTTCTCATTGCATAATCAACCGTTTATCGCTGAATGGAGTTCTAATAATCTGTTTGAAAACATCCGTGGCAAGTCCCGGAAATACGATTGTTCTACTAGTTGACTTTTCACACTATACATCCTTTGATCTTAGAAGCGCATGCATGCAATAAAAGAGAACCACAAGCGAAGCTTATTTTCTTAATTAGTGGGCAATCCAATTTGAGGCGACACTGTCAACTCACATGTAGTTGCTGTCACAACACGGCAGTCATTCCTTTTGATTCGGATCAAGTAACCGTATCAAACCAATAAATCTGGCTTGAATGTGTATCTATATTTGCATGAATGTGTATGAATGCGCGTAGTGCTGGTCAAAACTCTTGTTTTCCGTATTTTAAGCAACATGACCAATGAATGCCACAGAATCACTCTGTACTTGTGTAATGAATTGTGATTGGCTCTTCACTCATAGCGTCTGTTACTACCATTATCGATCGATATTTTCATGTAAGTAGACTACATTCACATTGAATGTGACAGTTAAGGCTTGTAAATAATAACAAACGGCAAAAACAT